TATATATATATATATATATATGTATATATATATATATGTATGTGTGTTTATTTTTTACATGTAGAAAACTAAAAACAGACATGTTCCTGTTTTTAGTTTTCTACATTCGCCTTAGAATCTAGCTGTTTTTTTGTTTGTTTGTTTGCTTTTTGTTTTGTTACCTTTTCCTTTTAGCCATCCTATTTGTAAAAATAAAAAAAAATAAAAAAAAAACTGCAGTATGACTTTTTATAATTGTTTATTGTTGTCGCTGTTGTCCATTGTTGTCATCTTTCTTTGTTAAATCAGGTCTCTCTTGTAAATGAGTCCTCGAGGCTCAATGGGATTTACCTGTCTAAATAAAGGTTGATTGATTGATTGGAAACTGGAACGCGCTCGACTCGTGAATGACGTAATTCCGACTTCCCAGTTTGGAGTTCCGATGTAAATGGAACGCAGCAGCACGTGACCATTTGCTAGCTAGCAACAAGATGGCGGTGGCAGTGCGGAGTTTGCAAGATCAGCTCGAAAAAGCCAAAGAAGGCTTGAAAAATGTGGATGATACTATTCGCAAACTGACCGGACGAGATCCCAATGATTCTAGGTAAAAATGTGAAAGCAAGCATTTAAGTTGTGATGCATTTACGGTTATTCTAACCAGCTTTATTAGAAGCGACATGTGCTAACTAGCATGAGGTGGCTAAGTATTAGGCGGGACGGTTTCCGTGAGATTTTTTAAAATGTTATTAAAAAAATATATATTCATACAGTTCTTATGTTTACTAATCGTGATTTAGCGATTTAGTTGTAAGAAACTGTGGACCTCTGTGTACTTTTGCATGAAACTAACAACTGAGCTGATTTTAGGCCTATCAGGCGTTATTTGAGTATCATCAATGAGGACGAAAGGCGAGGTACCGAACTGAATCGGATTTTTGGTTTACAGACCGGGACAGATGCGTCGGCTCAGCGGCCCCATGGCAGGCCTGGGATTGATAGGAGGAGGTAGAGGCAGAGGACTCAACCTGATCAGGTAAAGACTAAAGCTCGTACACGTTTAGACCCATCGATGCCGTGGGCCATAATGTACATAAACATGCCTCAAACAATATTTAGTGTGTGCACATGTTGGTAGATCCAATTGCTGTAGACTTCCAAGCGATCACCAACGAAAAATATATCAAAGTTAAGTCAGGTCTCCTGGCCACATTTAAAAAATATTGAAACATTTTATCTTTTATCGAAAAATGTCAGTCCGAGGTACTGCACTAAACTCAGTCTTATAAACAGCCCTTTTTCATAGTGGATCAACCAATTTGCTGGTGACAACCAAAACTAGCTGTTCACACGATAAAAGTAGGACCATCAACCTAACGACCGATTGTTATTACCCTGATGGCCGCTTGCTATACACAGAGGGCTGAGTGATACTAGCAATAACAGTATTGTAAGAAGGACATGGAGGCCTCTGCCCCTGTTTAATGATGAATGGGTTCTCTTCACAAAGATGTTTTCCATCCTCTACCAAACCAGCGTTCCTCTATCCGCATCTTCATCCCTGTAAGAGTGACCACTGACCTACAATTGAGTAAACCACAGAGTCCTGGCTAGATGATGTTGCTCTTCTGTGCTGGGCCATCCTTTTGGCCAGTGGCTGTTTAGTTTTTCCAATGCTTGTCTACAGTTCTGGCACTGAACGGCATATATAATATTATTCTGTTTGTGCTGGGGGGGGGGACTGGATCCCTGGGGTGGACCAGTCTTTGCCATGTATTTTGGTGTTTAAAAGCCACTGGGACGTCATGTTTAGAAAATAAACGTCTCAGTTTCTCTGAAACTCCTGCAACATACAGAATGACCACTGGTCTAGGTCTGGTTTCTAGACTCAGCTCCTTAGATATCAGCTGAAAGGAAACCTGCTTTATGATTAATTCAGTTCAATTTATTTATATAGCACTAAGTCAAACACAAGTCATCTCAGGGCACTGTACAGAAGCATTCATATACATAAAAAGTAAATTAATAAAATTACCTGAGGAGCCAGCAGACTGCTTTGAGTCTAACTTACAGTGCAGTAACACCTATAAGGGTTTGTTTTTGAACTGCAGTACTAATTGATCTGTTGTATTTTAGACGTAGTCTCTCGGATATGGGAAGCGGCGGCCCACCTGCCAAGCAGAGGGACATTGACGGAGCTCTGCTGAGGTGAGCGTGTACTTTTTTAAATTAAGGGGTCCAAGTGGAAATGTTTTAATTTAGTTTTTCCCTACTAAATGCTTGATCAATTTTCAGAAAACAAGTTTGTTGCTTTTGATAGTCTGAATTTTATAAATTAATGTTGAATAATTGCCAACAACTGAATTTGTGCCGTTATTTGCTACAGTAATGTTTGGTATTTTTAGATCTTACAAACACATTATAGTGTGTGAATGTATTTTTCCCTTTCTGGATAAGCAGCAAATAATAATTTTACTTATTGTATTTCTTTTAAACAATCGTTTTGCAGGCTGGCAGGAGATCAGAGGGCCAGGAGAGACGTACGTCCCGACAGCGACGCCGAGGATGATGACGATGTCAAAAAAGTAATAGGACTGTGTGTGTGTTGTACTCATCATCATATACGTAGCATTTCAGAGAACTTCCTTCAGATTTTATGGCTTTTTTTAAAATATTGATCTTTCTGGCATGTAGGATGTTTCAAAACGGCTTTAGCAAGTTTATTCCCCTTTTGTCATTTTCTTTCAGCCGGCGTTGCAGTCGTCCGTTATAGCTACCTCCAAGGAGCGAACACGCCGAGATCTCATCCAGGATCAAACTATGGATGAAAAGGGCAAACAGAGGTAGGCCAACACTAGCCTTGAATTCAGTACAGAATTGTATCCAGAGTTTGTGTTGATTCATTATCAAAATGTCACATTTGTATCTGCAAAATAAAGATTACCACAAGTTTCGTTTGCACGGTGTCATGCTCGTTTTTTGTCAGGAATCGGCGCATGTTTGGCCTGCTGATGGGGACGCTGCAGAAATTCAAGCAGGAATCAAACGTCTCTTCAGAGAAGGTGAGAATTAAACGTGTTTAAGATATCATGTAAGTTTATTGTTGTTGTTCATGGTTATCAACTGTTCGATGTGCAGCTGAAGCGGCGTTCAGAGATTGAGCAGAAGCTCGAGGTTCAGGCTGAGGCTGAGAAAAAGAAGGTGGAGAACGAAAGGCGAGAGCTGTTTGAAGAGAGGAGAGCCAAGCAGACAGAGCTGAGACTGCTGGAACAGAAAGTGGAATTAGCTCAGCTGGTAAGAAAATGTTATTTAACCATTTTATTTTTTAAAAGATCGGGGTGTTTTTGGTCTTTAGTTTTGAGTATTTTATGCAGCAGAAGATTTTTAAAAAGTTCATACTTTCTCTTTAGCACTAAGCACTGATTTGAAGAGTAATAAAATGACTTAAAAGTAGAGCAAATATTAGGTTTTGTTTGAGCTCTATTAAAGTGTACCTGTCCCATCTCTTCCATCAAACCACAGCAAGAGGAGTGGACCTGTCACAATAATCACTTACTAAAATATATTCGCACAAAGACCAAGCCGCATATCTTCTACCGGCCTGGAAAAATGTGCTCCGCAACACAGAAACTCCTCGAAGAATCCACCAAAAAACTAAATGGTCAGTTAGTTATTTGCTTTTTTTGTTGTTGTTGCCTTAACCTGTTCCCGTTTGAGTTAAAAGCAAACGCTTTATCTTGTGAATTTTTCGTATTTTCCTGGTCAGCTGTGTTTGAGGAAAGGCGTGAGGCGTTTGCAGAACATCTCAGCAAGATGGAGTTGCGTCCTCGGCGACAGCTGAACCGTGACCCGGACGGCAGCACAGCCTCAAGGATGGACCACCCGGCGGAGGGTAAGCCAGCAGGTCAGGTAGACAAGCGAACAGGTAAAAGGGGTTTCGCAGAGATTGAGGAAGATGAGGAAGAAGATGAGGATGAGGAGGAAGAAAACGTAAAGGAGAGAAATAGAAAGGAGACAGAACAGGGAGATAGGGAGGAAGCGGGAGAAGGTGAGAAGGAGGGGTTTAAGGAGGTGGAGGAAGTGATGGAGGTGAGTGAGGAGGGAAGAGAGAAGCAAAAGGAGAACACAGATAAGAAGGCTAGTCCAGAGTCAGAGGAGATGGAGGTAGAGAAGAAGGCAGAAACGGAAGGTGAGGATAAAGAGGGCGAGGTACTAACGGTCAGGCAGCAGGGGCCCACGGAGCCTCAAGTTGTAACAACTCCGGACACCCAGAAATGTGAAACGGCTGTCGGCAACCAGGAATCAGAAAACAATGATTCACCCCAAGACAGCCCCGCTGCAGGAGAACCAGCAGTACAGTCCCCTGCAATGGAGGCATCGCCAACCTCAGAACCCCAAACAGCCTCTGCCACTCCTGCACAGGAGCTTACTTCTGTCCAAGATTCCATCATCCCTGCACAGGATTCCACCACTCCTGTTCAGGATTCCATCTCTCCTGTCCAGGATTCAACAAATGAAAAGCAGCCGGTTGAATTAAAATCTGTGGAGGCCCCACAAAAGCTGCCCAATTCCCAGAAGGCCTCTGTAACTACTCCTGAAAAGGAGGAGGAGGGCAGGGGGAGGAAGAAGGACAAACTGCGGAAGCGCCGCAGTCGCAGTAACAGCTCCTCTTCCTCCTCCTCTGGATCCTCCTCCAGCAGTTCTTCCTCCTCCTCTGGATCCTCCTCGTCATCTTCCTCATCCTCTTCCTCGTCATCATCCAGCAGCAGCAGCCGAGACAGCGGCAAGCGAAAGAGGCGTACATCGGATAAAAGCAGAGACGAGAAGAAAGAAGATGAAAAAAGTCACCATAAGGGAGGAGGGAGTAGCGGAGGAGGGAGAGACTCAAAAGAGGGGAGTAAGAGGAGCGAGGAGGGGAAGGGCAGGTCTTTCCGGAGTGATAGGGAGCATAAAGATAGAGACAGGAAGGACAAGAGACGCTGATGTGATTGGGCTTCAGTAAAAACAGTGGAGAAATAAACTGAGCGGTTTATGAGATATCTGCGATAACTGCTTTTGAACATTTCTTTAAAACACTGGTTGTTGTTTTTTTTACCATTGGAAATTTTACATGGAACATACTTGTCAAATATTGTTGGTCGAATTGCATAGAAATAGCGAATGGCTTTTTTTCTTTTTTTTGTAAACTACTGTAGTAGCATCTTATGTGGTTTCTAATTGGAGTCTTTGTAAATGGGTCTGATTGAAGAGCCATTTTTTTCTTCCCCCTTATCCTAAATTTAAATAAAGCTGGTATTTGGGGTTTAACAAGAACTGAGCTGCAACAATGCCAATTCTTGGATGTTGAGATTTGGTAAACAACTTTTCAAATATAGTACGTTTGATGTTTCAAGTCATTGTGGCAATGCTGTTAACTTCCACAATTTGATCAGTGTCAAATGTAATTAGTTCAACTTTTATTTTTACTATGTAATTTGCTTTAAATAAATTTTGAGGTTTTGGCAAAAATGTGTTTTAGTGTGATTTATATTATGGGTGAATTTTTAGTTTGCCGTTTTACATTTTTGATCATGTTTAAATAGTTCAAGTTATATTTTTTTGTAACTAGACAATCATTTATTTGAACCCAGATTTGAGTAATGCAGGTTCTGTTCTACTTTTCTTAATGATGTCATTAGGATGAATTTTGTTGTCCACACATTTTAGAAATCACAACTTTATTTCAAAAGTGTGTCAGTACATAAAAACTTCAAAGTTTTACTTGTTTTGCTGCTTTAATGATCCAGCTCTATCAGCAAATTGCTACTAAAATAAAAACTCTTACAAATACAAAAGTCTTGCTCCTGGTTGAGTCGGTTTGGGCTCGCTCTGTTTTCTTCCAGATGTTCAGCCACATGTGCATGCACTGAGCTAGAAGCCTCTTTTGCCATGAGCTGTACAACAGCACAGCCGTTTGAGACAGTGAACAGTTCAGCTTCCCGTTCATTCTTGCTGGTCTGCCAGATCAGTTTGTTCAAAGTACCTGCAGGATCAACAAAAGTTCTTCGTGTTAGCACATTTAATTAGATTACAGTATTTTACTCCTTGCGTTGACTAAGTAAAACTAATTTAAGCATTATAAAGGTTTTTGGTCACCTGGCAACAAGGCAGATGAGTAGGTTGAGAGCGGGCAGCTTTTCATCCTCCTGACTGTCCTGTGAAAATGGATATTAGAGTTAAATACTCTGCAAATATAAAATTACACAAACAGGACAGTAGCTACTGAAACAATATATCATATGTAACAAACCAGGGAAAATGACTCCAAAGTTCCATGTGAAAAGATAAAGAGAAGAGGATGGTAGATGTAGTTCCTCAGCTTAAAAACAAAGGTCATACCAGTGTGCTGCGGAGCTGGGCGCATCTCCTGGCCAGCTGTCGGATGGAAGAGTGGGCTTCAGGCAGTAAAGGCTTCTCCAAGCAGACCAACAAAGCATACAACCAACAGCCCTGTAGAGGAAGAGAAAAGGAACAGCTAACTTGCATGATGACTCCAGATTTATTGTGCTGAAAGGTGAGTGGTCCCTAAAGTTTTTTTTTTCTTCCACTATACAAAATCCTATAAACTTCATATATAACAAAACAGTTTGCCGTAGTATAAAACAATTGGATTTTTGTGGCATTTCCAGACGCATCAAAGTAAACTCACCAACTGCGGAACAAATTCTCGCTCTTCAAACCAGCTTATCAGAATCTCCAACAACATGAGAACTGTGGACTGGAGGCAGAAATAATTACCAGACTATAACCAGAAGGAGGTGATAAATGGCACCGTAATATATCACTTACCTGGTTTAGTCTGCTTACTATGCTGAGGAAGGGAGGGAAACCAATCTAAACAAAGAAGTAAATACATTTTAAATGTAAAATTCTTATTAAATTAGACGTTTATGTACAGTCTTAATTTTTTATGAACAAATTGCTATATTTTATTTTTAGCCTACCTTTATTCTATTGTGAGCCAAATAAAGTGATGCTTGTCACTTTAAATATAAAAAAATAATGTGCCGATCTGCTAAACTGGTATCTACATTCTAAAGTGTAAAAACTCTGAAGTCTCTATATTACAATTTTACGAAAATTAAACAGTTTTAGGACCTTTCTATAGTCCAATGCAGGCTCATCATCTTTATCTTCAAGGCTAGATGAGGTGCCTTGGTAAATCTTCTCTCCTAAACAAAACCTTTTCCAGCCCTCCTCATCTGTTACCATTGGCTGCAAAAGACAAAAGCACATTACGGTTAAAACTTAAACACACCGGCAGAAATTGAAACTACCAACGATTGTTTATTTGTAATTCATGAAACGTGACATCTAACCATCTGTACATTGTCATCCAGAGTCTGGCTACTCCAGTGTTTCCTATTCTTGGTGATGCTCTAAAAAAAAAAGCCCAAAATAGAAGAATTAGGACCTTTGACATGTCATTGACCCTGTTTAAAAACAAATTTAGCAATATGAGCAAATGTTTGTGGTACTGTAAAATTATTTATGAGACGATAAGCCTTTAGTCGTAACCAAAGGGGGAATAATCACTGGAACTAATTTTTCTTACCTGTCTAGCATCAGAAAAGTTGCTGACTTGCAGCTGTTGCCACCTGAGGCTGGGGGAGAAACCCAGAGGTGCAGCATGGCATCCTGCAACCTGGAAACAAAGGACACACATTTCTCTTTTTCCTTTAGGGCTTTCACGCTGTCTCTCTAACCAACACAATTAGGCTTGACACAGTACTAATTTTAATGCATGATTTTTTTGTGTTACACAAAATCATCCACTAAATGCTCAACCATATTCTGTATAATGACTCACAGATGCATTAACGGTTTGTTTCTTTTTCAGTTTCTTGGGATCGATTTGAGCAACCACCACCTCTGGACACAATGATGCCTCCAACCTAAAATAAAATGGAAACACATTACTGTAATTGAACAGTTTCGTTAGATCTGGGACAGATACAGGTGAGCTGTAAATGGTGGTTAGGATATTAGATTTGATCCTCCTGACAGCTATGGCAGTTCGGGCTGAACGTACTGGACCTGTCTGAGGTACTCTTGGGGGTTTCTCGGTGTCCCACCAAAGTCCAGAGCTTCACGAGCAGCAGCTCCGCTCTCTACCGGAAGCAGCCTCGGCATTAACTCCTCCACGTCCGACTTCATTTTCTAACAATATCAAAACTGTGCACGAATAAAACGCCTAAAAACTGCCTGATACGTTTCCTTTAGCTTCCCATTTGTGTTCACATTACAAACACCATCTTGTTTGTAAACGCGCAGAATGATGACGTCGCTTCAGTGCGACAATCCAATCCAACTTTATTTGTAAAACATTTTCAAACACCACAGCAGACCAAAGTGGCAACATTAAAACATGGCTCACAAAATACAGTTATAATAAGTAAGTAAAACAAAATACATTAAATTGGGGTAAACAATAAAATCAGACGAAAAAAACTATAAAATATGTAAAAGTAAAATCTGATATATTTTTTATAAAATCAACTCTAAGTATAAAAACTAAAGAAAACGTGGGTTCTGTCTAGGATGGAGGGTCAGCTCGTTCCAGAAAGTATTTTAAAAATTAATCCAAAAATGCACAGGCAGCTAATGGAGTGTGGAAAAATGAGGGAAATGTGCTCATGTTTAAAAGTTGCATAGCAGCATTTTATACCCTTTGCAGTCTGGCAATGGAGGAGATTATGCAGTTAAAGTGCATTACAATACAGTAATCCAGACAGGTGGTGACAAAAGCATGGATTATTTCAACTCAATTCAGTTGAATAGCAAAATATAGATTGCAAATATAGATAAATAAATATGTATAGATAAATATAAATAAATAAATAGGTAATGGGCAATAAATGGGCAAATGGGTAGTAAATGGGTAATAAATAAATGATAAATATAGATAACAGATAGTAAAATTATATAATGTCAAGTAACAGAAGTTGTAAAAAACATTTGCATACATAAAAAAGCCAATAAATAAAGTTACTGTATCTATCTAATGAAATGTCAGTGTTTTCTGGGAAGGATATGTTTTATTTTGGATAGCTGTTTCAAATTATAAAACTTATTTTAATGATTGACCTAATCTGGCAGTCTAGTTTACGTTAAGTTAAGGATCGAGTTAATCCTCATCGTCAATTTGCTGTACTGTAATCTAAATCAACTTTGGCTGGCCCAGTAGTGCTTCCAAAAGCCATCATTTCTGTTTTGGATTCATTCAAAAGGCTGACTGCCATCCAAGCCTTAATGTCCTCAAGCCACCCTAAGATGCTGATTTATGCATTTGTCTTTTTAAGAGGGACATCAATCTGATTTTCATCTGTCTATGAATGGAATTAAATGCTATGCTTGCTTAGAATTGAACCAAGTGAGAGCAGATAGCGTGAGAAAAATGAGTGGGCCTAAAACTGAGCCTTGTGGGACTCCACAAGAAAAATGAGAGGAGGATACTGAACCATCAAGACCAACAGAGAAGGTTCTGTTTGTCTAAAAGGGCCTGAACCATTTTAATGCAACAGCCCCACTGCTCCAGACGAGTGAATTTGTGGTCCGCAGTGTCAAAAGCAGCTGTTAAATCTAAAAGTACAAGGATGACACATTCACTGGAGTCAGTAGCTAAAAGGATGTCATTAAAACCATTTAAAAGAGCCAATTCAGTACTGTGGAGAGTTTTAAAACCAGACTGATACCTCCTGTCTGTCTTTTTTACATTTTGTAACAAATACCACAGTTAGCCTTGTTAGCTATTTAAAGCTCAAAGTCCAAACTGTGTCTACACTTTATACAAATTGTTTGTTAATTATTATTATTTGCAATAAAATATAAGTTACAGTATTAGTTGTCTTTAATTAGGCTTTTCAACTGAATAAAAACCTTTGACCAAAACACAGATAGTTTGTAATACAAGTAGGTCTTGCATGTTAATGATTATCTACTTGTTGGGCCTATATCTTATCAGCGCTGCTTCATTTACTATTGAGATTTCATGAGCAACAGCACAGAGGCAATGTCCACTTGCCAGCACAACTGGTTTGAGGTATTTCAACTTTGTAATGGACAGTTCTTCTTGATTTACTTTCGTTAAAACAGCAAAAATGAAATGTCTGCGTGGTTATAAATTCATGTGGATGGTTGGTGCTGTTTTTTTAATTCTATTTCGCTTAACTATGGGACTGTTGTCTGACTACAAGCTCTGTGGAGATTCTGAGTGTGAAAGTAAGCGGAAACCCTTCTGAGGTATTTTTTATATGGAATTACAGATTATGTGTCATTTTTATCATAATTTTCTTTCCTCACGCTTGTGTGTGCAGGTTTGATGAGCAGAGTGCAGGCTATTAAAGACCACCACAGTAAGGACTGTCGTTTCCTGAGCTTTAGACGTGGGGACATCATTTTTGTATACCACAAACTTACTGGAAAAAGGGAAGACCTCTGGGCAGGCAGTGTATGTATTGAATTTTCTTTTTTTGTTGTTATAATTCTAAATTTGTTGGACTTACCTAATGCACACAGCCACTTATCAGGTTCTTAGTCAAAGAGATAAGTCCTGATTATAACAGACCTTGTTGGTTCTGAGAACTGAGTGGTTGTCATGTTTCTTTTCGTACCTTTTACGTTGCATGCTTGTTAGAACCTGGCCTATGAAAATATATGACAGTAGACAGGTGGGTCAAAGCAAATCCAAATATGTATTAGTGTGTTTCCTGTAAGATATAAGCATTTTGTGTTTCAACCAAATGTACATCAAAGTCAAACCTACTTAAGGTGTAACATTTTTATGATTAAAAAATAGACAATGTATCACATTTTACTGTGTGTATTAACAACTAATAAAACATAACTTGGATATTTGTAAAATAAGTAGCACATTTTTTTACTGTTTTATATCTTTTACTTTGTCATGATTTTTTTTCAATAAAATGATTTAGTTATAAATATTCCACACATAAACAATTAATACACAAATGCAAGGTAAAGTGAATCATTGGGTTTGTATTTGGGTTTCTATCTCTGGTTTACTTGTTTTTTTAACGGGTCATCTTTAAATCTTTGTGGTTGTCTGTCTCATGTGCCTGTTGTCATTTCAGATTGACAGACAGTTTGGCTACTTTCCAAAAGATGCTGTGCAAGAAGAACAAGTCTATGCAACTACGGAGAAAGTAGTGGAGACACAGGTAAACTTTCTAGTTGTTCAGTTACGAGACTCGAAAAATAATTTAATTGTAAAATGTGAATGAGGTGATCGCAAAAACATACCTTGTTTTTTACGCTGTTATCTTTATGAATACATGATCTTCTTTGTTCTGCAGAACTCTGACTTTTTCTGCATGGATGAGTCTGGACATCCTATTGACACCACTTATCTGGATGATTATGATAATAATGAAAAATCACAACCTCAGGAGTCAGAAACCATCCAAATTAGCCCAAATGCTCATGACACAAATGCTGACGGGCCTTCAACATCTTCAGATGCCTCTACTGAGGTTAAAGCACAAGAAGCCGAAGAAGAAAACAAAAATCTCAATGATGCTGCTGAAGCTCACGAGGAGGCACACAAGACTTCTGCAGCTCAGAAAGAACAAGGTGGGTCTCCCTCCTCCTCCTCCTGGCTGGGTTCTTCAGTGACAGGATGGTTAGGCCTTTCTAAAGAGGAGCAATCTGGCAATTTGGAACATGCGGGGGAAGAGGAAGGGGAAAATACTAAAGCAGATTCTTCACTCACATCTTCTGTTACGGGATGGCTGGGCATTGGAGGGGAACAAAAACCAGAGAACGTGGAAGAAAATGTGAAACTTAAAGAGGAATCATACACTTCAGCCGTGACAGGGTGGCTCGGCTATGGAGGAGAGGTGAAAGCTGTCCCTGAAAAAGATGAGCCAAACAGCGAACAAGAATCGGAACCTGTGGAGAAATTTCGGAGTAGAAGAATGTCTCTGGACCTGGAAGACAGTGAATTACATGAAAAAGAGGAGATAGAGGTGGGGGCTTTTGGTTGGTTGGGAAGTGGGCTTTCGAGCAGGCTGGGGTTTGGTCAGAACGAACAGGATTCAGGAGATGAAACAAAACTCGGAGGGGAAGCTGAAGAGAAGAAGGAACAAGAGGTGGGTTCTTGGATGAACATGGGGATTGGGGACATGTTTCGTTTTAGAAATGATCATTCTGACGGTGACGGTAAAGAAGATGGCATTAAGGATACCGAAAAGGACAAACCACTTGAAGAAACGGCCAAATCAGAAAATCTGGATGCGGATGAATCACATGCTCCACTAACAGGTGAGGAAAAAACTGAAACTAACAAAGAATTACAAGCTGAAGAACCCACAAGCGTCACATCCGCAGAACCAGTCAGTGATATTAATAATAATATTATAGATGATAATGTAGATAATTCTGACAGAAAGGAGCGCAATGTGTTAGCTGGACTCAAGGTTGATCTAAAAGATGTTTCACCACAGGCTATTGTTCAAATGTCCTCCAGCATCAACCTCTTTTCCCAAACAGATAATAAAGAAGATGACAAGTTGGAAAATAACAGGGAAATAGATGAAGATGGATCTGCAAAAACGGAGGTTTATCAGATGCATGACTCAGCAGGAAATCTGAGAGCTAGTCACACAAGGGAGCCAGTAGTAAATGAAATGAATACTACGAATAACAATAAAGATTTTATAACACAGACTGAAAACAGTTTGGGCAGTGATCACACTTTTGAAGATATAATTTTAAAGTCCATGGAGCAGTTTGAAGGTAGAGAGGCAGACCTGACACCAAAAAGTGTTGAAATCACAAATGCAGTTCAGAACTTGGAAGAATCCAATAATACATCAGTAAAAGATGAACTTAGAGCTGATGATCATAAAGAAGAGCCGTCAAATAAAACAACATATTCAGCTCGGAACGAAATGTTCACAACTCAAACTGAAGAATCAGCTGAGATAGGTCGAATCGGACCAGAGTTGAATCAGCCTGCGGAAGAAGATGAGTTTATCCCACATGAGGAAAGTTTTAGTCCCTCCATAGCAGAAACAAATGCTCCCAACTCAACAGCTAAAACTGATAACGTAGAACCAGAGATCGATCTTGAAGAATTAAAACTGGAGGGTGGCTCTCAGGAGTTTGGATCCTTGCATTCTGGTAATGAAAATACTACAAAAATGTATGAAGATGTTCCAGAGGAAGACAGAAATACAATCCTCACAAACATGAATCAGACACTTGAGTCTTCACAGATGAAAGAAGAAGTCGCAAAGAGATTCAGTGATGCTGAAAATCTAAAAGGAACTTTGAAGGATCAAAATGAAGAAGCTAAGAAGGAGACAACAGACTTTAAAGAAGAAGTTTTGAACGATAAATCAACTTTGGGTCCTGAAACAGAAAATAAAGCCTTTGACCGAGTAGAAGAGGGTGGAAAGATAACAACCGAGGAAATGGAAAGAGGGCAAGATGATATTTTAAAGGAAGAGGAGAACCAGCAGGAAGTGCATGAGGTAAAGAACGAGGAACAGCCCGTGGAAGCAGATAGAAATGAAAAGGAGAAAAATAATCTGGACAAGAAATTAAAAGAAAATGAAGAGAAGAACAAGGATGTAAAAGAGGAGTCAAAGATGGAGAGAGCAGAGGAGGTGATGGAGTTGAACGAAGAAAAGCAACAAGAGGTGGAAGAGCTGAAGAAGGAAGAGAACCAGGTAAACCAGTTACTCGAGCAAGAAAATCAAGCCAGAGTGGAGGGATTTAAGGAACCGGAGGAGAAACAGGAGACCCTGGATGATGACATTTTAGCATCATCTTTCACTGAAACAACAAAACAGACTGAAAGCCGAAAGATGGAGGAGGGAAAGAGAGAGAAAACAGAGGATGAGGAAGCATCTGAGAAAGTAAAGGATGAAAATCTTGAGGAGGGGGTTGAAGAAAAGCAGCAAATTGAGCATGTGGAGAGCGATCGTCCTGAAGACAGCAAAGAGGAGGCAGAGGAAGAAAGAGAGGGAGTTGGCTCTGAGGATGGAGCAAGTTCAACAGATGTAGCAGCTGCATGGATGGGCGAAAACAAAATGGAAGAGAGGGAAACAAACATTTCTGAAATCTCAAATGATGTAGACGAAGAGCAAATTCAGAAAACTGATGGTACAACACTTGGGAGTGAATCCCACAGTGAAGGAAGAGCTGAGCAGGACTCTAATGAAAGTCACATTCAAGCATCGGAACAAACGGAGCCTGGAGGTCTTACTGAGTCCTCACATCCACCTGGAGCAGCAGCGAGCGAGAGCAGAGGAGCGTTTGGTCTTTTCAAAAACACTTTTGGCTTTCTCTCTCCAACATCTACAGAGTCCACGCAATCTGCACAGAGTTTTAACACGAATACGGCTGAGACGTCACAACCACAAGGCTCTGATCGTGAGCTGGATTCCACCACTGATCCAGTCCTCACCTCAGAGCAACCTCATCCAAACAGTCCTCATACTGCTCCTTCAACCACAGAAACACCCCCAAAAACAAACCCCGTCAACAAACTGTACAAGAATCTCCTCACCCACATGAGCGCCGAAGAGACGGCTGTTTTGTTGGAGCTGTTTGGGCGTCACAAGCTGCAGTTTTTAGATTACGTTTTGGTTAGCTCAGAGGCTGTGACTGCAGGTGATGATCAGTCCATACTGTCAGATATAGAAAGACTTCTGTGTCACCACAGGGAGATGCTGGTAGCTCCACTGAGGCTCACAGACACACCACAGGAAGACAAAGAAAAGACCAGAACACTCATTGCACTTCAGAAACTGGAAATGTTACTGAAAACAATCAATGTCACTGTCAGCACAGGAATATCAGATGTCAGTAAACATCAAGGTATTTTTGTCTACATCGCTCAAGCTATCATGGCTGACTAATTATATTTCTAATCTCATGTACCCAGTCTGTTCAGGTGTAGTTGTGTTTTGCTATTTACACGTTGTCCTGCTCAAACGTAGATGAGACCAGCTGTGCCACATGTTCATCTCAAGGTGAAGAAAGGAAAGACAGCCTGAGAGACGAGCAGATAACTGCGGTAAACGATCAAACAGGCGGTGGTACGGTTAATGAGAAGAAATATGTGGATGAGGAAAGAAGAGATCATGGAAGTAAAGAAGAGGGAGCATCCCTCCATTATACTCAGCCAGGACCACAAAAGAAAGGTACAGATGACTTGTGTTTTAATCAAATTTCAAAATATGCTTTGACCTACAGAATTTTCATATTTATTCTCCACCATGACATGACCAAGACATTATTTAGTTTACTTCTATACTTTTAAGTTTTAAACATGATTATCTGTGTGACTTCAGGGTTAATGAAGCAAACTTTGGACTTTATTCTTGGGGTGATTGAAAACTACAAGGGCATCGTCAGATGGTTTATCGTGAAGGTATGAGCTGATGCAGTTTGTTTGACTTTGACATTATTTTGTATTTAAGCTTTTTTTTTTCCGCAGGCGAAAGAGCGCTAATGCTTTTGCTCGTGTCTGTGTGCTACCAAACAATCTCACAAATATATCGTGAATTGTATTGAAAGTTTCAGAAAGCAGTCTTTGAAAATACGTCTACAAACTGATTAATTTTTTGAGTCAGTCTAATTCAAGATGACTGCCACAGCTATTCAACATTAGCAAACAAAAAAAGTGGCTAAATCTCAGCCAATTTTAAAACTCTACCATGAAAGGCAACAGTAGATAATATATGTTCTTTAAAGAAATGCTAGGCTTTTAATATTTTTTTTAAACAGAATAGATGTTCATTTTAAATGCTATTTTAAAAAGTCATGTTGTTGTTTTTTTAATTTCCCCAAATACTATGGCATATTAAATAAGATTTTTTTGAACGCTCAGCTGTCTGAAAACATTTTTCTTTTAGTCTAGACTTTTTGTCCTTTACGCTATCACCATGTTTGCATAAAGGCCTTTTTTAATGCCTCAAGAAAGAACAAACTGCATTGTACTTTTGATAAATCTGCAGACCAGTCAAAGTACTGGGCTATTTTGAAAAGCTGCCTTTTAAAAGACCAGCCACCAGGGTTGGGTGGGCTCAAACCAACTTTGTATTTGCTTTATTTACACTAAAAAGCACATTATAAATCCTAAATGCAACACTGACTACTGCACATGTGAAAATGTTATAGTGTGTCTTGGTTCTTTAAGACATTGACACCTGTGACATGTTGATCCTCCTCTGAGTTCAGCTTTGCCTTCGTGTCACTTGTCAGCCTGGATCGGTTTTGACTCTGTCGTTCACATTTGTTTTTTTTACACGCTCAGCTGATTTTCATGCTTTCAAGGGTAAATAATTTTTCTAAGTTCATATGGAGGAAAAAGATGCCAGCTCGGTGAGTTTAATAACGTCATGGTGGAAGCTGTCAAGACTGACGGAAGTTTTCATTAGCAGTTGTAGATCAAAGCTGGGTACATATTTGTAATATACTTGACAATAAAACTCTTAGGGGAACATATGTCTTATGTTTATGTCAGTTGTTCGAATAATTATTTTTTTACTCGAGGAAAAAGGACATTTCGCTACAAACACCTGTTTGTTTCCCTCGGTGTCACTTTGAAAGCGCTCCGACGTGTCGGTGTGGCGTCTTACAATTGGTGACGTTTGGATCAAACCATTTATAAAAGTGGGGGTGTTTTAACTTCTTTGTGATCGCACAAATCTACAAAAACTCTATATATGGTGTAGAATTTTTTTATATTTATCGTCTTAATTATTTTAGTATTTTTAATTTATGTTTTTATCTATTGTTTAAATATTTTTTTAAGTAATATTCAATGGTTTTACTGCTTACCCCTACGCGATGGAGGTTGTGGTATACACAGAGGGTTGGTGTTGTGAAAAGGATGTTACTAGGACGTTTACCCGGCTGACGGGATTCTACTTTTCATTAAAGATAGATGCAATTTTACTAAATTTGAGACCAAATGAAATAATTTAGCCATGGCGGAACATCCGAGAAGTGAGTCGCTGGCCAGCAAGGCGGCTGACTTCCAGGCGACGGCAGAGTTTTTCTACAGTATCGCCGTGGAGAAAGTGAAAGATGTAGGTGGCAGGTCTGGTTAGCATTTCCCATTTAGCCATCACAGCAGAAATAACGGACTGTCATAGAAACACGTCAATATTTCAGTATTAGTAGCTACTTATTGTCATTTTTTTCAGCTGTAGTTTGGCTATATGTATCTTCTGACAGTGCTGCCATATTTTATGTTGTATTTTTGACGTATTTAAGTTAAGCCCATTAGCATAGTTAGCTGGTGTAGTCTTTTATTACGTTTTATTCGTCCTTCGTGTTGTTTTAATTTTTATAAAGAAGTAGCAGGTGTTTGGTTATGTTATCTGTTGTTGACATACTTGGTAATAGCATATTAAAATTGCAATTACCTCTCAAGATAGCTGTTTAGTAATCAGTGAGTGCTAGTGCTTTGAAAACAGAAGTTCCTGTTTTGCAAAGAGGGAAATTATGAAAGTCTTGTGGTTATTTTTGAACAAAAGCTGCTTTATTACTAGAAAAGATCATTAAGTTCAAAACAAGAAACACAAAGCCAGGTTTCATATTTAGAACATTTATTAAACTTTTAAAAGTCTTGAAACTTACTGAGCTGGTAATCCTAATGTTCAGAGTATTAAAGCCAGCTATACACAGGGTAAAGGTTAAATATGTGACTAAAACCAGTTTCTAAAGGGAACTTTTCTTTCTCTTCTCTTACAGGTTGTATCATCCCTGCCTGATGACATGAGACCAGGTCCAGACCTGTACGGTGTACCATGGGAACCAGTTATCATCACGGGTCTGGTGGGGCTGGTGACATTTCTGTTGTTTACCTGCAGATGTTACAGATCTGTAAGTGCATCTCTTTTACTACTAATGCACAGATATGCAAGACTATCAGCAGTTAGAATATCATCTGACATCATGTAATGGTAGCTGCTAATATTTATATGAAGTGTCCAGTTTTTTTACTACCCAGAAACTTTACCCCTAAAACTGACTAGATTTATTTACACAAAGAACTCTTATTTAAAACATCAAACGGGTATTGCTTCAATTTATTAATAATTGTATGTTATTTTAAAGAAAGTGTGATGAAATGTTAAGACACTATAAATGTTGCTTTTTGTTTCCCTAGAATTAAAGAATTCATACATGTCAAAAATAATTAGTCCAGACTGTCAGCTAAATTATATTTTTAGCATCAGTACTGAACAAAAATCTCACATATGGCACATTTATAGTATTTGCATCAACATTACAGAGGCTTTATCTTAATTCTATATTGATAATTTAGCATATACTGAAGTTCTAGCTCCGAATCACCGCACTGGCCTTATAAAACATTTACCAATTTGTCGTTGTTGCTTTTTTCCTATATCTTCCCAGATCAAGAGCAGATTGTATCGAAGTAAGTTCTCACAACAAAGACCATATTATCACATCTTTATAAATAACAAAGCATCATTGCTTATGACTGCTAATATTATCTAACTATAATGACTGTGCAGTGAAATGCAGAATAAATCATTTTGACATAAAAAATATTTTTAATCCCTTTTTAGATTTTCAGCTAATTCTTAAAATGTTTTAACATTTTTTTTTTTCAGGTAAAGAGCAACGGATGGCTCAGCAGATCACACAGCTGCTGGATGAAAAATGTAAAGTCCTTGAGACGCTCAGTGAGTGTCAACAAGAGGTTAGTGTTTGTGGTCACGCGCCATTAATGAACTGCTGGTTGGAGCCACAACTGTTCTCTACGAACTGAGGCAAAAATATAAAATTAGGTTACATGCCTTTTTAAGCTCAAGAAGACACAAATGTTATATTTGGTGTCTCATAATGAAATCTGTTCCTTGTACATAATTATAAACTGAACCCTGAACTGTAATGGCTGCCATTAATACATGTTTTTAAATGTGCATATCTTCTTTTAATATTATTTTCAGTATGATGAACTGGAGAACTCACTGAGAGATGGAGGTGTTTCAGTCCAGACTCAAAAAACAGAAGAATTAAAGGTAAATCAGAAAAAAACAACACTTACACTGAAAATTTGAAATGTTTAAAAACTTCAGCTCTATCTTTTAGAGTTATTGGTTCAAATAGCAGTGTTTTAATTTACTTTTTTCTCTTTAAATTGAATAATAAGTCAGAAATGTAAGTATTTATACTGGTTTACTAAAAAAACAATTTTCAGCTTGTTGATTAAATTTATAATTAAATTGTTCACGATCTGGTATCTGCAAACAATTTGGGAGGAACTTAATTCCATGTAAACAAGATAAAATATATGTTTTTTTAGATTCTGCTTTTTTTGACTGATCTTTATGACCTGCCAGGCACATTTAAATAATGTTTTAGTGTTCTACATTATACTGGTCTTGCAGTTGCTTGTTTCTGTCTTTGTTTTGCTTGAAGACATTCTCTGATCACATTTGTTGTCTTATTTTTGGCAGGTCCAAGCCAGACAGTTGAAAGACACTGAAAAGGATCTGGAGAGAGATCTTGATCAACTGAAAGCTCAGCTGGAGCAACAAAGAGAACAGAGGAAAGAGCAAGAACGAAGGGTGGGAGTACACTCGATCACTATTACAAACAATACATGTTCAGCAGTGATATAAAACTGTTAGTAATAATTGCTTTTGGTTCATTTTCCAGATATCTGAGCTTGAGGAAAGTTTAAAAACATTTGAAGAAGAAACTAAAAATCTCCAGTCACAGGATGAGCAGGTGCAGTTCTTTTCTACCTCCTAACATTTGTCTTTGTGATGTCTTATGTTTGCCCCTTTTTTCTTTGTTGCTTTTTATTCACATTTTTTTCTCCTAAATTTCCATTGCTTCTGTTTGCTCTATAGGCACAAACAACTCTGAAGATATACGATATGAACAGCGACAGACTGCAGGGGAACCTGGAAACGGCACGAGAGAAGAACACAGTGCTGCAGGAGAGCAACACTCAGGTCAGATGCAGCACACAAAGTGTCAGGGTTTTACATCATTTAAGTTCAAGATTTAAAGTGGTGCAGTCATTTTGTTCTGTTTGGTTTATACAACTGTAGTTTGAGCAAAATTCATGCAAATAACTTGGTTTTTTTTGTTTCTTTTCTTTCTGTATCTATATTTTTCACATTGTTTTTTTCCTCTCTGCCCATCTGTTTGTATCTGTAGCTGAGGCAGCAGGTGGAGGGATGGGCAGAAAGAGTGAGTGAGTTGGAGGCAGAGATGCAGAGATGTGAGGTTGCTCACAGTGTGATGGTGCAGGACGTTGCTGTCAAAGATGAATGCATAAAGGTGATCACTTCTTCCAGCAATGATGCTAATTGAAGAAGAATAGAAGTAGCTCCTCTCTGGTTAATGACAATAGAAGAAAGCTGCAAAGGGACGTACATTTGTGTTAAAATTGTGTGCTTATGTTCATGTTTTCAGTCCTTGACGGATACGCTGCTGAAGATGAAAGGCTGGGATTCAGATCTGGAGGAAGACCAGGGTGAGGAAGGAGTAGAGAAGGAGACAACCAACGGGACACCACAAAAAGAAGACGGGAGTGGAAAAGGCAACTTAACAGACACACATCTCCAGAAAGTGCAGAAACTTATTTATGCAGCTAAGGTAAACAACATAAGTGTACACAAATCAACAATATTTAATGTGGCATGCATTTTCCTACATTTTAAATGCATATCTAAGATATTTCTCTTAATATCAGCTAAAAAAATTGTCTTACCAAATCTGCCATCTTGTTTTTCACTTCGTACGTTTTCAAGTTAACGCGAGTGAAAACATCCAGTTTCAGTGGTGGTTCAGTATTTTATAACATATTTCTGGAGTTTTACATTTTAACTTCCATAACTTTGATTAGTTAAACGCAGACCTCAAATCAGTGGATGAAGATAAGGACCGAACATTTGCAAAACTCAGCGATGAAATCAAGGCTAAAGAAGACCTTCAAGGTAAGTCAGCTGTGCTTTATCACATTAACATACGGTAACTTTGGGTGGGGGGGGATCCAGACTTTTAAATCAAGCATCAGCATAATTCTATGTGAAATTGTGCTGAATTAAATTTTTAAGTTTAAATCATACTGATTTAATCAGAAGTTAAAATCTCTTAATTGTATGTTTTTAAGTTATCGGTAATTGAAACTGACTTGTAAGTAAAACACAAAGCTGAAAGTGGCTTGTCTGTGATGTAACAAATGGAGCAGAAATGGTAAAACAGAACGTGAGCATATAACCAGCAATGGCAAAATCTGTAATATTTAAGTGAAAAACAGTTTTTCATTCTCTGCTCATTTACAAGAATAGTGATAATTAAATCTGTTAATGAAAATATACAGGATGGTAAATACAGAAAGGTCAAGTTTTATAAATGGCGCCTTCTTTCTTATATTTTTAATAGAAATCTGCTGTTGGGGGTTTGACGTGATTGTTTTTGTTTCCCCTTTAAGTGAGCATTAAGGAGCTGGAAAGCGAGAAGTTATCTTTACAGTCTGACTCTAAACATTATTCCGATGAGGTAAGTAATTTTGAATTGTTAGTATGATATTTAATATAAGCGATGTTTCTTTTCTTTGTGTTAATCATACTGATTGATGTGATAAGGTTGAGCGGTTACAACAGAAACTCCACATTATGACTGAAATGTACCAGGAGAATGAGCTCAAGCTGCACAGGTACGTACTCATAAATATTCCTTAATTTTTGAATTAGTCATGACAAAAGCTGATGAGATGTGTGTTTTTTATTAGAATGCTGACTGTGGAAGAGAAGGAGCGTCTCCAGAAGGAAGATAAATTAAATAAAGCTGACAAAAACATTGCTATGGCTTTGGAAGAGCTGAACAACTACAGGTAACTGCTTCATATTTTATTTTATTTATTCATTTATTCATGAATTTAAAAGAAACAAAATCAACAAAACAAATTAATCAAAAAGAATAACATTGAATGAAAAGAGTGCAGAAAGAAGAAAAAAATTCTTATATCTGCCCCTTATTTAAAAATATATAAAATAACTATAAACAAACAACCTATACTTGAACAATCTCCACATTGGCAATAAAAAAACATTAGGCATCCTTCACCTGGCACCACACCTTCCCAACAATTTTAACTTAATCATCTTTTTAAACATATAAATTGTTTTAGAAATTTTTATGGTGATATCAAGGCAATTCCATAATGACAACACAGCTCCTTCAGACTAGTTCTAAATGGAGGTTTTACAAACATTTACATTCCCTTAAGGTTATATTGACTTTTTTTTTTTTTACAAATTTTAATTGAATATTTTGGGGTAATATTTTTATGAGCTTTATACATGACTTGTAAAATACTATATTCAACCAAATCATAAAATTTTAATAATTTCAATTGATGAAATAATATATTTGTTGGTTGACCATGACGTTTCATACTAACAATTCTTATAGCTCTTTTTTGTAAAATGAAAATAGTTTGTAATCGTTTTGCATGCTTTTCCCCAAACTTCAATATAGTAGATTAAATATGAAACGGTCATTACATTATATAATATATACAAAGCTTTGTCATTGGAAAAACTCTTACTTTATACAGTAATGCAATTGATTTTGCCATTTTTATTCTTAAGTAATTTACATGAGATTTCCATGTCTGCTTCTCATCAATAACAAAACCCCAAAATTTTATTTCATTAACTCTAAAGAATTTCAATATTGTCAATTTTAAATGGGACTTCGATAATTTTCTTTCTATTACTAAATATCATGTAGTTTGTTGTTTCCAAATTTAACGATAACTTATTAAGTTGGAACCAAGTTTGTATTTTTACGAATTCCACCTGCATCATCTCTAACATTCGTTCAGTATCTTCACCCGAACAAAAATGTGGTATCATCTGCAAATAAAACACACTTTAAAAGCCCTGACACATCAACCAGATCATTCACATACCAAATAAACAACAGAGCCCTGAGGAACTCCACATCCATTAACACAAAATTCTGATCTTACATAATCTGTACAAATTGTCTCCTATTCTTCAAATAACTAGATACCCACTGTAGTGCTAATCCTCTTATGCCATATTCAGTTTTTCAAGGAGAATGGTGTGGTCAGTAGTGTCGAAGGCCTTTTTTAAATCAAATTTTTAAAATCATATGAATCTGTTTCTGACAGCGTATATGTAGTCCCTCCTTCACACGTTGTTTCACGTCTGTATTTCAGAAAACGAGCAGAAGGGATGGAGGAAGAGCTAGAGAAAACTAAACAGTCCTACCAGACTCAGATATCGGCACATGAAACGAAGGCTCATAATAACTGGGTTAGTAAAACTCCACCACAGAACAGTTCTGACAGGATGAACACCCTGAGATGAGCTGCAGCCTAATGCATGCCAGTTAGTGTTAGTATGACTATAGTTCACTTACTTTTGTTTGTATGTTCTCTGAATATGTCATGTTGTCGTTGGTATTTGCAGTTAGCAGCTCGGGCTGCAGAGAGAGACCTGGGAGACATCAGAAGAGAGAACTCCCTCCTTAGACAGAAGTAAGGTGTTGGATGGCTGGTGGTGGGGGGGACTGCACTGTATTTCTAAAGGTTTGTTGTTAGTTTGTCTTGTCATGTCCTGACAGAGTGTGTGTGTGTTACAGAATCACAGATACGCAGTTTAAGCTGGACTCCCTCGACAAAGATACGTACGCCTTGAACAGCCTTGCAAGGCCACTGCCTTTCCGAGGTAAAACTCGTCCAGACATACAGATTCATATATGATGTCAATTTTCCCCATTTATGAACCCATACATAGACCTTTATAGGCCTCATAGGTATGATTTATTTAATTGTTACATTTTTCTTCTTGTTTAGTAGAATACTTGTATGAAAACTTGAGTTTTGTTCATATAATTCATGTTTAACTGGAGATGAGTAAAATCTACCAAAAATAATTGGAGTCTAAATAGGTGGTTTCTGCTAAAGTGGTGTCTGAAATAATGAATTGCTGTTCTTTACAAACGTTCTGTCGTTGCAGCTGAGCGGTCACCGTACAATTCTTCTTTTCTTGGTCGACCCTCCTCTGAAACCAGACCCTTTCTCTCTCCTCCTACATTAATGGATGGGCCACCTGCTAGACTGTCTCCTAGAGGTAAAAACTCAAAACAAATGGGATTTTCTGGTGAACATTATATATTCTGGTACATTCTTAATCAGCTTGTATAAGCTATAAGTGCTGCATGATGAACTGTACAGGATGGTGCATGTGGTGGCATGATATTTTGGCACATTAACTGCTATAAAAAATAAAATAATAAAAAGAAATATTCAAAGTTTTTCAGTTCCGTCTGACTGACAACGTCCTATTGCCTCTTTGTCTTTCTTCTTCTGTTACTCTCATTCTTGGACAAACCTCTGTTCCTTTGGTTCCCTGTTTTTGTGATACTCTCATTCTGGGATGTTTTCATCTTCTCTGGGGTTTTCTTTTCTTTTTTCTTTTCCCCTTTGGACGGTTTGTTTGCGCTCATTTCTTTCCCAGTATCTCGTGGTCCAGTGGATCCCCCAGGTGGCCAAGGAGAGATGGAGCGCACTGGAGGTCCTCATTCAGACAGTGGTTCAAACTCTCCCACATGGGAGAGAGATCGCAGAGGTCCCCCTCTGGGACCACCTCTGGGACCCCCTGGGCCTCTAGGTCCCCCAGGTGTGTGTAAAACCCAAGAATAAAATGAAGTAATGCCCAGACAGCCTGACTTATCATATCAAGCATTAGGACTGAGCTCATATGTAGGTATACCAAATATTTCATAATTATGATCCAAAACTAAGCACATAAGTCAAAATTATTATTTTTTTGTAATAATTTCTAGTCTGTGAAATATTGAACTTCTTTCCAAGAAGCTTTCAGTATGTTCAAAGTAATCTACCAGTAAATAAGGTACCACTTTACAGTAAGGCTCCCCTTATAGCTGACTAATGGTTTATAGACACATTATTAATTCCTCCATAAACACGTTATAAATCATTAATTGTTTATTATGCATTAATTAAGGGTGACAGAGAGACAAAACTGACCAGTTTCCTGCCAAATAGTGAGCCAAATCTGCCACCTATATATTTCATCTAGAGTTGTTATATTAAACATTTCAGACTAAGTTACTACCTTGTAAGCACAATAAGCATTTGTAAACCTGTTTTTTTTAGGATATACCAGTAATATTAGTTGTAGATACTTATAATGCATTGATATATTATTATATGCTAAATAAATAGGTTTATAAATGCTTATTGTGCTTACAAGGTATTAACTTAGTCTGAAATGTTTAATATTACAACTCTAGAAATATAAAGGTGAACAGATTTGACTCACTATTTGGCAAGAAACTGGTCAGTTTTGTCTCAGTCAACCTTAATTAATGCATAATAAGCAGTTATTAATGATGTATACAGTGTTTCTAGAGGAATTAATAATATATCTATAAACTATTTATTAGCATCTATATAAGGGGAGCCTTATTGTAAAGTGGTACCCTAAATAAAAGTAATGAACTGTGTTCTGACACCAGCACTGACAAATCTCTTGGTGATATCCCCATAGAAGAAAGTTGGTAGGAACATTTTAAGAGTCTGAGGGACAACATGTTCATGTGGTGTAGCCACTTTTCTGCTGCATTGTGCATGTGCATCTTTATCTTTTTTGCGAGTCCGTTTTCAACCGAAATTGATTTAAAGCAGTTAATCCACAGGTGAAGCTTGTAACAGCAGACAAACAAAAGAGGATTTGTCACACCTGAGTGCAGCTGATTAAACGGTTGTAGAGCTGCGTTGAATGTATTCAGTTGTTCCTTCCTTTACTAACAAACTGTTCCTAATCTGACTGCAGCTCACACGAGCAGAGAAACCCGTTTTTGTGTTTGATCTGCTCTCAGCAGATGAACAGTTGCATTGAGTAGCAGCAAATGTTTGCAGATATCATATTAACCACAACAGACTTCAGCTCCCAATCTACAGAACTTGTTTTGACTTGGGATGGTTTTGTAGAGCCACCGTGTGCATGCAAATGAAGAAAAAAGCACGCTGGAAGTTCTTAATGTTGTTTTCAGTCCCCTTTGAGTTTCAGTCTGGGCAGAGAGTTCAGAGAACTTGTTTCGTTCTGTACGTTGGCCCAGTTGGTTGTTGTGGTGAAGCACTTTTACTGTTGTCGTTTGTATTTTAAGAAAGTGACAAACATCCAGATGTCACAAAAAATAAGACTAAAATTATATGTTTGAAGACATTTCATATATTGTAGAGGGTGGGGCTTTCTGGTAGAAAACAAAACTGGTTCCAGGACCAATCCACCATCTGATTAGAGTTGGTTTTAAATGGTTTGATTTGCTTTTTAGGACTTTTAAAAAGTAATTTATTACACCGTTAAAAATAAAAGTCAGTCTGAAAACACAGTTTGTACAACTGACTTTTTATTTGTTTGTTTATTTAAATAAAGCATTGAGATCACACTAAATATTAGTTTGTCTGATTAATTTATGGATTATCTCTCAGGTTATATGTTTCCAGAACCAGGGGCTCCCATATTCAGGAGACCCCCACCTCCTCCAGCAGCTCTAGGCCTTTTACCTCCTCTTGGCTCCCTCCCACCTGGCCCTCTCCAACCTAGAGGTCTCCCCCCAGGACCTCCTCACCCTACAGACATGACAGGTGAGCCAGACGTTTGTTAGCTTTTCCTTCATTTTTGGTATTGTAACTTGGTGAAATGAAAAAGCAGAATGCAGACTGTTCAGATTAACGCTGTGAGTTGGAAACCATGTTTTGCAAGTTACTAAATGTTTTTGAACGCAGATGGAGCCTTCAGAGAAAACCATCTTGGACCTGGTGATCAGGACCTAAGACTGGTGAGCACCGGGTGTGTTTGTTTCTGCGTGTGTGGATCTGTCGTCCAGACACCGTTTTAAAAGGTCTTTCTGTCTTTAGCCTGGTCCTGGTGATCCGAGGCCTCTCCTCGAATCAGATCTAAGGATGGGTGGCCCTCCTCCTGGACCCCCAATGGTTCCAATGGATGGTCCATTTCCTTACAGAGCCCCTTACGGACCCCCACCACCTCCTGATTTCTACCCTCCCAGGGGTCCGGGGGCTCCTCCCATGATGCGCAGTAAGAATTTATAAATGTATATATATTTATTTTCTGATAGGATCCATGTGCATAACTTTTTATCTCTCCAGTGTGGCCCCCTCCTCAAGGAATGATGCTCCCTCCTCGCCTCCATCCTGGTGGACCACTTCCTCCTAACATGCCTTCTTATGGTCCACCAATTGGGCATCCTTCTCCTGATGGCCCCCCACCCCCTCAGCAGTCCCTCCCTCCCCCCACACACAGTCAGTCATCAGAGGAGAGCAGACCTCCACCTGAGGACGTCATTTGACCCCGACAGTTTCTGTTGATGCTTCTCGTTGATTTACCTCAGTGGATGAAAGGTGGCAGACACCCCCCCCCCCTTTTTTTTTTTTTTACAACATCTATTTATCCACCAGGAGGGGGCTGAATGAAGTGGAAACATCAGCCTTCATAAGGCTGTTCTGTTGTCCCCCTCAAGCCTGTTTTTGTTTTCAGCACATCATTTTTCGGCTTCATCCAGCTGATGTTATGACATCACAGTAACAGCTGTTTGGTTCGTGCTTAGTTGCTTAAACTCTACATTTTTAAGGATTGTTGAGCCAGAAAGAGATGAAAGCAACGTTTTTACTGACATCTTGTGCTGAAATACTTGATGAAAACATGAAGTTATGTCAGCATCTCAACCTGGAATAGTAGTTTTTGTTGTACCGTCACTTTTGTCACTATAGTATTTTTTTAATGCTGTTTTAGCATTTGTATCATCTGACAACGATACAAATCTGATCTCATCAAGTATTTTTTTTACTCTGTGGCTGAACAGTTTATTCATCAGAGGTCAAATGAGTGTTTTCTAAAATCTAGTCTTAACTGCACAGATCTCCACGTGAATTTCAGTGGACTTTTAAACCACGAGCAACAATTAAACGGCCCATTCTGACCCTGTCACGGTGACTTACAGACAGCTTAGGTTTGACAAACGCAAGCTGCAGCTCCATGTGACGGGAAGAGAAGCTCCCTCAGAGCGCTACAGCAGACATTTGTGAATTTTGTAAAAAGTGATGATTCATAATAAAGACTCTCGAAACGGTCTATATATTTCACTGATGTAATTATGTAAAGTTTTGCTGCAGTGGTCACAAGAACTACCGTAACATTGGAGTGTAATTATGTTAATATGTTTTTAAATATTTCACAGCCTGCTTGCATTTATTGTATTAAATATGCAGCACTTTAACATGTTATTATACTTGACCGCAGTCTTTGTCATTTAAAAAAATTACATGAGCCCAACTCTACAAAATGTTTGTATGTTCCAAATAAATACAGGGATAATAAATATGGAGACAGTGTGAAGAAGATATGAAATGTGAGAATTCATTGCTTTAGAAAGAAATTACTTGTTTTGTTGTCAAAAGATGGGAAAATGGAAAATGAGCAACTTAAAATGACAAATTTTTCACTGGTCATCATGAAGTTCAAGACCTCACAGAATACTAATTTTAAATGTTACAATAATATATTTTTATTCAAAGAACAAAATGTATTTATGAGCGCAGGTCGAGAAACGATCCTAAATGACGTTCTTTAGTACATCTGGCATCTGAAGATGGTTTGGTGCAGAAAAACTGGTTACAAAGAAATCTTTAGATGTGGGAAAACACTCTGTGGGCTGTGAAAATATAAATTTTGGATCTTTTTGGAAACCATTCAGACCCTGGGTTCTGTGTCTCCATGGATAAAGATGAGGGGGAACATCCAGCAGATTAAATTTACTTTATAATGACATTTCAGACATAGATTATCATTTTTCTTTTGGAAAAGTACTAAAACATCGTCTGCTTTCATTGAGCTGAGGTTAAAACTTATTTTTAGCTATTATTGCATGTCAGGAGCTAAATCTACCACATACTGTATTCTTGACATAATCTGATATTTTTTTCCACATCAGGTTTTATTTGAAGCATATTTGTTTTTTTTATTATTTGTTTGAAGCCCTGTACACTGGAATCTTTTATGTGGAAAGCTGTTAAAGATTTAATTCATATGAATAAGATAACGCCCTGTAAAAATGCACCGACGCCTCTTTGGTTATGTACAGGTGCTGGTCATAAAATTAGAATATCATGAAAAAGTTTATTTATTCCAGTAATTCCGTTCAAAAAGTGAAACTTGTATATTATATTCCTTCATTGCACACACATATATTTCAAATGTTTATTTCTTTTAATGTTGATGTTTATAACGGACAGCTAATGAAAACCCCAAATTCAGTATCTCAGAAAATCAGAATATTGTGAAAAGGTTCAATACTGAAGACACCTGGTGTCACACTCTAATCAGCTAATTAACTCAAAACACCTGCAAAGGCCTTTAAATGGTCTCTCAGTCTAGTTCTGTAGGCTACACAATCATGGGGAAGACTGCTGACTTGATAGTTGTCCAAAAGACGACCATTGACACCTTGCACAAGGAGGGCAAGACACAAAAGGTCATTGCTAAAGAGGCTGGCTGTTCACAGAGCTCTGTGTCCAAGCACATTAGAGATGAAGGGAAGGAAAAGATGTGGTAGAAAAAAGTGTACAAGCAATAGAGATAACCTCACACTGGAGAGGATTGTGAAACAAAACCCATTACAAAATGTGGGGAAGATTCACAAAAAGTGGACTGCAGCTGGAGTCGGTGCTTCAAGAACCACCATGCATAGACGTATGCAAGACATGGGTTTTAGCTGTCACATTCCCTGTGTCAAGCCACTCTTGAACAAAAGACAGCATCAGAAGCATCTCGATGAAAGTAAATTTTGCATTTCCTTTGGAAGTCAAGGTCCCAGAGTCTGGAGGAAGAGAGGAGAGGCACAGAAGGTTGCTTTAGGTCCAGTGTCATTTTCATTGTCAGTGATGGTTTGCGGTGCCATGTCATCTGCTGATGTTGGTCTACTGTGTTTTCTGAGGTCCCAAGGTCAACGCAGCAATCTACCAGGAAGTTTTGGAGCACTTCATGCTTCCTGCTGCTGACCAACTTTATGGAGATGCAGATTTCATTTTCCAACAGGACTTGGTACCTGCACACAGTGCCAAAGCTACCATGTACCTGGTTTAAGGACCATGGTGTCTCTGTTCTTAATTGGCCAGCAAACTCACCTGACCTTAACCCCATAGAAAATCTGTGGGGTATTGTGAAGAGGAAGATGTGATACACCAGACCCAACAATTCAGAAGAGCTGAAGGCCACTATCAGAGCAACCTGGGCTTCATAACACCTGAGCAGTGCCACAGACTGATCAACTCCATGTCACGCTGCATTGCTGCAGTAATCCAGGCAAAAGGAGCAACAACTAAGTATTGAGTGCTGTACATGCTCATACTTTTCATGTTCATACTTTTAAGTTAGACAACATTTCTAAAAATCCTTTTTTATTGGTCTTAATTAATATTCAAATTTTCTGATACTGAATTTGGAGTTTACATTGTCAAGTTACAATCACCATTAACATAAACATTTGAAATATATCAGTCTGTGTGTAATGAATGAATATAAATATACAAGTTTCACTTTTTGAATGGATTTACTGAAATAAATTAACTTTTTCACGATATTCAAATTTTATGACCAGCACCTGTATATTCTCCTCAACCTGGCGGTGTTTTATCAGAAACAACACAAACATTTGCAAAATATCTTTTAATTGAAAAATCCATCTTCAGAATTATCAAAACATTAAACTGCCAAAAATAACATTTATGACGTGATTCATCAAAAAACAAATTTATACTGAAAACACTACGAGCCATACTATTACTGATTTTAACAAAATTCATGAATCTGAACATATGAACCAGGAATGAAACGGTAAACCAACAAAACCAGTTGTTCTTGGAATGGTAAAAATTTCAAGGCTCTTTCTACCGTTTACTGTCATCAACAAAGTGGTAAAGAATTGAAAGTACAATTATTTTTGTCCGAAGTGCACAAATACTTGTGCATATTCTTGTCTACTGGAAGCTCATTAAAGTTAAATCTATAAACCACCTGACATTTCAATTCATCATAACAATCAAATTATTTTTCTCAAACAAAACAGATAAAAGGAATTTTAAAAAATGATCCAATGGCACAACAGACCAGCTTAACGGTCACACCAGAGCTTTTTAAAATGTCTCAAGCCTGAAGATAAAAAATGTTAATAAAAACTGACTCGCCTTATTGATGTATTGCTTGGTGCAAAAAACAGCAACTTCTTGGTTCGAACAATTTTTTTTCTCAACTGTAAATTCTCAGAAAAACTCAAGAAGAGTTGAACAAAACATTAAGAACACTTTTCAATAAGCAAATCATGAAAACAGACAAAGGCAGCAACATATAATTTTTCATAACTAAATATGGGTGAATACTTAAAACCATGAAGTGCTGATAGAACATCTGTTTATCAAAATAGCTTATGGATTCCTATCTTTGAGTAAACCAAACTGTTTTTAGTTTAGATTAAGAGTGTCTTAATGTGAAAAGACCAACACTCATCTGTGTTGGCTATTGATGAACAAAGTGGATGAGTAGTTGAGAGGTAAACAAATGTCCAAAACTATTTGCATGAAAAGAATAAAATCAAGTTGCTGTTTTTTTATTTTTTTTAAGGATGTTTGAGTCAAATGGAGTAGCTGGAAATTTTTGTCCTATATTGTTTGAAAAGTTAACAGTTTATGAAAAGATAAATGTTAAAACTTGTGCATCCTTATGTACTGGAAGGGGTTTACCTTTAACTGCTCTGACTGTTAACTTTTCAAAAACAAACAAACAAACAAAAAAATTTTAATCAAAAGTTTAGCATGAATGTTATACACCGGTAACAGGAAAGGTACTGAAAGTTGGAGATGTAAAGCCTGAGTCTAACCTGAAGCAGCGACATCAGCCTGAAGGGATTAAAAATGCTCCAAGAGTCCTTGTTGTGCGTGACTACCAGTTCACCAGCTGGTGTCAAAGTAAGGCAGAGTTCTGATCACGGTCAGATAGAGAGGTGTGTACAAGAACTGAAGAGAAACGTTCAGATGTGTGGGTCACATGCAGAAAAAGTGTGTGCGTTTCAGGTCCTCGTGGGTTTTTAATCATGTGTGTCTCAACAGTTGAGAATTGGCCTGTTTCTGTCGGAGGGCCTGAACGAAAACAAGCAGCTGTCAGAGTCGGCTCTCCCTCTGTGTGGACCCAGTGTGGCCACAGCCTGAAGGACAAAACATGTATATAAATGACAGTTAAAAGCTGCTCATATAAAGCTGCAGACCAAACAAAACAACTCTCAAACCACTAGACAAACTTGCACCTTTCTGATGGCTGTCCAGTCCTCCAGGATATCCAGATCTGGTAGCATATAGACAATATATGGACGTGAGCAAAGTTAAGGACATTGAGGACAAATCTGGATTCCAACATTTAGGCATTTTCTTAAGTAGTAAGCAAAAACAGAAATATAAAGGATATCAGACACCACAGAAGGTCGTCTCCTCTTCTTATCTGGACTTAAAGCATCGCGCCTTTTCTTTCTTCCCGTTATCTCATCATTCCACAGCTCTGAACAAAAACACAATAAGACTCAAATATGTTATAGAAGCTGCATGTATATACAATAATAAACCTATTATTCACTGTTTTACCTGACGTGATATCGATGCTGTGTCTGTCTTCCTCCAGTCTTCTAATCTTCTCCTCCAGTTCGCTCTGCACGGTGTCAAAGAGCAGCAGTTTCTCACTCTGCACACAGGTACAAAACATCAACAACATAAAATCGGTAACTCGAGACAAACTTGATCTAGTTAAGGATAAGGTTATTGAGATAATCTGTGTGTTTTTAACCTCCCAGTGTTGGCATGCAGCCTGGATTTCACAATCATACTTGTTCTTAACAGACTCCAGACACAGTTCTCTGTAGATACCTGACAAAGACAGCATATATAAGGTGAACAGAATAAGGGAAGTGTGCAAACCTTTCTTTGTTTGTCTGTGTAAAGTTACCTGCCACCTTGGTGCGGACCTGCATGTTCTCCAGCAGCACCGCTAGAGGCTCAAGATATTCGGCAGCTCGGCCAGCCTCCACCTCTGCCAGCTTGGTGTTCACCTGACTGAGCCGCTCTCGATACAACCTGCACACAATTATTGCATACACCAGTACAGATTGTTGTTTGTGCTTCTTCTTAAAATTTAAAGCACACTTTAAATAAATCAGTGTGCGTCTCACTGGTCTTTGAGATCATTGAACTGTTTCTCCAGGTTAGACATTTCATCCAGACACTCTATTCTCCTCCGCTCACAGTCTTCTTCATCCATTTCTAAAACATCATAAGGAACCAAACACAGACCATGAAAGTTGACTGTAATGGAAAACAATGCTTTCACGATAACACCCTGAGAATCAGCATGATCACTTGTAAATAACATCTTAACAGAATCATGAACTCTAGTAAAGTTTTTCTTTATGTTAGTTAATCTGTAATAAGACAGTCCTCATTTTTTAACCTTTAGTTTCTCACCAGAACTGTCTCCATCCTCAGAAACAGAGGAGGTTTCAGAATCCTCCTCTTCTGTGCTGGATGCTTCGTGCTCATGCTCCTCCACCTCCATCTCTTCAGCTGTACTCTCCTTTTTCTCTCGGTCACGATGCACTGGCATGACACCCAGAGCAATGCTTTTGGACAGAAAAATATGGATTTAGCAACTGTTTCACAGAGCAGATATAATTTTACATTTTAATTATTGGATTTATTTTGTTTAAGACGGCAGAGAACTTGTTTTAGAGTTTCTTCACAATCTGTAGTTATGCACAATCTGCTTGGACATCTTAAAAAGTCAACGAACACGCACTAATATACTCAGTATTAATGTTCCTGAAGCCTTATGTGCCAAATTTAAAATACACATGTAGATGAAAATACTTACAATTAAATATTTTGATTACTTTATGAACATGTAAACGATTTAAAGAAGAATAAATAATAAAAATGCTTATCCTGTTTTTCTGTGGTGGACCATGAAAATTGTTGTCGAACTGAGACTGTTGAACAGTAGAAACTAGTTAATGATTAACCATCTTCAAATACACTTAATCAATTAATAAAATGTGTATGTCAATTTTAAAATTCAAGTTAACAAAATGAAAAAGTTTATCGGTCACGCAACATTTCAACTAAAAAAACAGCTCAGGGCAGTTAGCATTTGTTAGCGTATTAGCACGAGGGTAAGTTAAGGAGAAAATATATTATCACATATTTATACAATAATACAATTGTAGTTAAGCTTGAATTCCAACTCACAGGGTGGTAAGAAACGGAACCCTTGTATGAATGTTTAAAGAGGAAAGATTTATCGCAGAAAATGATAACTCAATTTTCTTCGACCACCATTTATCTCTGCTATGCTAAAAACAAATCTCAGTAAGGCGCTCTTTGTTTGTTTTGGGAATTGTAGTTTTCTATGTCACCAAATGTCCGTAATCAACGTTCTGATACGCGAGACTAAAACGACACTACCCACAATCCCGCACAAAGCGAAGCAATCATGCCTAATCCAGAAAGGGAGTTAAAAACCTTAAATGAAATCACAGTAAATTTATGACCTATATTTAATTAAATTAAATAAACTTATATAATACTCTAGAATATTATTTTACTTTACAAACAATTCAAAATGTTTTGTTTCTAATTTATTTCAAATCTTTTTTTTTTTGCATCCTGTCAGGATATTTTCTAAGTGGACAGCTAACCAGTTAGCTAGCCCTTAATGCTGCGGGAGGATGGATTTGTTTCCCTTCTGCGCTGCACATTTTTGTCTAGTTTAAACGATGCGATCGATTTTACTCTTGGACGTTTCTGGCGCCATAACGGGGAGCTGCTAACCCGCAGCGCAGGGTTGATAAATGACCAAGGAGGAACAGGTTTTTTCGGTTCCAGTTTGAAGATTAACTCCGACTGAGGCTGCGTTTGAGCAGCTGTGTACAGCCTAGCCCCTTCTTCTTGTGTATTTCGCATTCTTGTCTCTCCTGCCTCAGGAATGTTTTCCAAAAAAACTCATGGGGACGTTAAAAAATCAACACAGAAAGTGTTGGACCCAAAGAAGGACGTTTTGACCAGGCTCAAGCATCTTAGAATAGTCATAGGTGAGTAAAAAACAACATAGTTAAGGAGCAGCTAAAAGGTTAGCTAACAGTCTGCATGTCTATCTCGAAAATCTTAGCTTCCACTGTAAATAAATACGCATATAATTCCGCTTGTTTCATTTTATGAGCTTATCCGTTTGTCAATTCAGTTGTTTCTATTAAAAGTATATAAAAACTTGTAACATTTGCCACAGTTCTCTACGTTTAATCTGTTAAACACAGCAGATTCCATTATTATTACATGGAAAAGCTGTTTTGTTTATAGGGATGAATTATGTACTTTACAAATACAGTAGTAATTGATCCGTTACTTTTTGTAGATATAAGTCTACATATTAAGTATGTTTAAATTTTAAAAGTTGCTAAATATACATTATTTAGAAGACTAACATTGCTAGGACAATAATAAATAACAACAAAGAAGACTGTAAGATCAGGTAGTGAAGCTTAAACTATACTAAATGCTTTATTTTTGTTTTAAGATAATTTGATCTTTAATTAAAGCAGAATTATGTGTGTAAAACTGACTTTAAAATGCAGACATCCAGTCAGTTTGCTTTGATTTCTGCAGGGGTGTGCCTGCAGACTGCCCGAAAACCTGAAGAGTGAGACGTCATGAGTGTTTTTCCTGATCATTTAACACAAATTCAACTTGGAATGTGTGGGAGAAATGGGAGGATGAGCATATATATTAATAAGTGATGGAGAGTGTGAGTGCTTGTGTGAGCATTTAGCAAACAGCTGAGAGGGAAATAGCCTTGAGTATTTCCTCTCTGTGTCCTGTACAGTAGCTCGACTTCCTCTGTTTTTCTGTATGTTTGTGTGAAATGGGTGTGCCCCACTTTATGTGCTCCACGGGAACTCAAAATTATGATAGCAACCACAGAGACTCGCACTACAAAACAGCAAGAACAGAAAGACTTGAGAGCAAAACGACAGCGTTTTCTTCTACAAAACAGTTTGAGTAGTTTTGTTCAAAACGCTTCCTTCATTTCCAATTTTCTCCTTCGTGTTTAACACCAGTTATTACAAAAACAGGAAATGCTGTTTATTCCAGTGGCTGGATTTCTTAGTTTAACCATCACATATAAAATCTTGTATGTAACATATTATGAATAATAATTCATCCAAAACAAAGTTTATACAGATTAAAGCAGGGGTCTGCAACCTTTACAATCAAAAGAGCCATTTTTACACCTTCATTTACTAAATTAAAAGTGTTCAGAGCCGCAATAACCTGCTAACTGTGATTATCAACTGGTGGCCCATGGGCCACTTTAAGCTTGTTGGAGGTGGCTTTTGTCCCCAGTAAAAATATCAATAAATCTTAATCTTCTCTTTAATATCATGGCATCATGGCAATATCATCTAATATCTTGAGGTTGAAATTTAATCTATTAAAATCAGACACTTTAAATGGGTCAAGTTGTGTTCGAATGTGAAAAAAATAAAATATCTTATCTGAGACCTTTCAAGTACAACCACCCTGATACTAACAGCCTCAGAGTTTACCTTGTAGTTTTCATTAACTGAACCCAGAGGCACCTGAATGTGAGTTTGTCCATGCATGTCTGCGCGAGTCAAACACACTCATGTAATGTCTCTGATTTGACCTGAACTACAGCGATGCCTGTACAGAACTGCATGCGTTTTGTCTTCCAGCTATTGAGTCAGTCGTGCTGTGGTCCAAAATTACAGTACATAAACCTGTGATTCTACAATAAACTGTCCCTGGAACCTCAATCATGCCCTGCATGTGTTCAGCTGCAGCTTCACAGAGCTGAAGTGAATTAGAGAAGTCAGATGCAGGAGGGGAGGATACATTTCTCAACTGTTCTGTACTTCCTGTAATGAGAAGACTGATTATTGTTCTCTTCACATTAAGGCATTGCCTTCAATACTACAGATGCATTTAAACTTCTCCATGAACACATTTTTTGACTATTAATGGATGAAAAAACTAGATTTAAATCACACCACTTCACTTGTATTTTTAGGAGTCATAATTGCATACTTTTATTTTTACCACAGATGTACAGTATTATCAAAAAAACTAGTGTCATCGCAATATCAATAGGTGTAATTAATATCTGTCAGAAAGGATTGCAATTAATCAAAAATAAAAGCTATATTCCAATAAGTCCTAATGCATGCTCAATAGTCCAGGTATCTAACAAGGTTGCGTCAGGTCCCCAACCTAGTCCACCCAGAGGACCTTACTCAACCTTGTTAGATATATTCCAGTAATATATTTAACTCACTGCTCTCAATGTATGTGCGTGATTTAGAGAATGGAGGCTAAAACCCATGGAGGTTGTTGCGAGCATTGTGATGACGGAGGAAAGAGACGAGTAAGAAAAATGTGGTTTCATCGTATTATCCAGGACCAACTTTTATCGTTTGTGTTTTCTGTTTTACACTGAATATATCTCTTGGAGTAGAAAATACTGAAAAATTGAGTCAAAATAATAATAATAATAAAAACAATTGATGAGTGCTAATGAAGAGAAAAACAATACAAATTCTGTAGAAACCAGTACAACCTTTTAACGGTAATTCTTGGCATTTCCTTCCTTTTATGCTTCTCAACTAATTTCAGGTTTATTTGTTTTCTTACAGAAAACTCAGAGGCTCCTGACCTGAAGCAGTTCTTTGACCTCTACTATTCTCATATCTACTATGTCTTCTTTGAAAACTTTGTCACCATTGAGGTCAGCCTCAAGCAGAAAGGTAAGTTTTATCATTGCTTGGTCAAAAGCGGTTTATTTTTAGCAAATGCTGCTTCTGCGGGTATACAGAAATCATAAATCATCCTCAGGCTGTGTTTTTGTGCTGTTTTCACACTATTTTGTGTTTTCCAGTTCATAAATCTCAGAGGGAGGAGCTGGACTCAATCCTCTTCATCTTTGAGGTGACAAAATCTTACAAATCTCCCAAAACGTAGTTTTCAAAAGCCAGTCTTAATTTAATTCACTCCTGGAATCAAATTACTTTATGCACTAGTTTGTTGAATCTAAATCCTATTCAAGTGTAAGAGTAAAGGTTAATGTAGATATTTTAAGATAAAAAAAATTAAACTGGAGAAAAAGAAAAACAAGACTAAATCACTGAGGTGCTTGTGTTTCCATGAGCTCAAACTTTCTGTATGTGGTCTCGGGCAGTACCATAACACCAGCTGGCATTGATCCCAGACTTTCTTAGACCGTTGGCATTTGGCGGTGATGCTGGGGGAGTAGCCAGGATAAGATAACATGTTTGTGTGACCTCAATTTACCCTTTTACACTTTTAAACGTAAGAGCAGAGCAGAAAAAAAAAATGAGTCGAGAGCAAATTGGGACAAAGCAAAACAAAATGATGTAACCTGTTTAGAGGGTGTGCACATTTTTTGGATGTTAATGTACGTTTGCTTTTCAAACTAAGTGCTTTTTTTTTTTTAACCATACCCTTCCATTGTTTTAAATATATTCTTTCAGAGATTATTTAGATAAAAAATAGGAATAAAGGTTCTTAGTTATAATGAAACCTAAAGGTATGAACAAAAAACATCTTTTATTTCAGGGGTTTGTTTGCTTTAAATGATAAGTATTTGAGTTAAAATGGACAATTAATCTCTTCAGGTTTTAAGAAGTTTTATCTTAAACACACAAAAAAATTAAGATTAACCTCTTTAGAGGTCTACCAATATGAGTTTTCTATAGCCAATGCTGAGCTTTAGAAATCAGCTGATATATAACAGATGTTTTATATAACAGATGTTTTTTTTCTATTTATTTAACATAATATAACAATAGATCAGTGCCGCTGTCTTGTAATCCTGAGGTTGCAAGTTCGAGCCCAGGTTGCATCAGGATGGGCAGCCAGCGTAAAACCCTTTCCAGATCTTGCTTGAGAGATTGCTCGCTCTGTGGACCCCTTAAGAAAGGAGCAGCCAAAATAAAAAACGAAAAATAAACATTTAGCAACTCTCAGAAAAACTTATCAACTTAAAAATGATGAATACATTTTGCTTTGAATACTAAATTATGGGTTATAGCTGGTGGTAGCAGTTGCTGCATTTAAATTTTCCTACTTGATCATTGAATAGGTAAACAGGCATGACCAAAAACAAGTGATCTATTTGGTTTAACTCTTGCTTTGCTAAAGGCAATTAAAAATATCGCTGTGTTCAAAATTATATATATATTTTTTTTAATAAATCTGCTCTCTGATGATTAAACCATCATAAACATCTTGTTAAAGACATTTAAAGTTAAAATAGTTGTTTCCTAATAATTGTTTATGGTTTTAAAACATTCTTGGTTATTTTAAAAAGTTTAATAAATTTAACCTATGTAGCAATTCTGCTGATTTCAACAAGTTGTTCATTTCAAGTGAACAGTCACTTAATGTTTGTGATTCTAATCGTAACGTATCAATAAAAAAGAATGAGTTTATGTTGATGGTCATCCCTTCATTAAAAGCTGGCATGATAAAACTCATCCAGTGTGTTCAACAAACTTTATATGGCAGTTGTAACAATAAATGTGTATTTATTTTGTCGTTTAGAAAATCCTCCAGCTTCTGCCAGAGAGGATCCAGAGGCGATGGCAGTTTCACAGCATTGGTAACTTCTCTTCTCTGCCGCTTATTTTAAAGTTGAGATTTGAGTATTTGATTGAACATCACATGTTATGTAAAAAAACAAGCGGTTTTCAATTCCTGTATGCATCAACTCATCTTAAGTGCATTTCAGATCATTTTTGTTGTTTGATGATGAAGATTTAGTTTAATGCACGAGTAAATAAAACGAGTTGTTTCTCATTTTTCTTTCAGGGTTAATTCTCAAGAAGTTGTTGCACACTGGAAACTCCTTAAAGGTACTGATCTGATTTGATTTAAGTGTTTGTTTTTAATGTAAGTCAGCTTTATTGTTTTTTTCTTTAGGTCCTAATACTCCATGGCCAGAAAAACATTTAAAGTTGTGGTTTATAAAGTTATTTGAGAAAAAAAAATATATAAAAAAAATCCAATAAGCGTGCACTATTTTGGCGTTTACTTTCCTAATGCTGCCTTTTTTCCCCCCTTCTATTTTATTTTGTAGATCCGTCGTGAAGGCGTGCGCTTGTTTTTGTTGTGGATGCAGGCTCTGCAGAGCAACGCGGAGCTCGAGCAGCTCTGCATGTTCGCATGTTTGATTCCTGGTTTTCCTGCTCCCGTTTGTCACGGGTCCCCACGAACGCTGGACACTCTGATCAACCCGCCGCTGAGCCTGACTGAGAGTTAGTTCAACAAAAACACTCAGACATATGTTGTAGCTTTAGTAAATGTGACCTTGTAGTTGTTTTTAAAACAAAGATACATGAAGCAGTTTTTTGTCATGTCAAATGTATTAATGCCCTTATTTTTCCTTCGCAGCTCAAGTAACTCCTGAAGAAATTACACCGTTGGTTGCTCCCCAGTCAGGAGACAAAAACCAGGAAGATCTCACTGCCTACTTTCTGGAAGCTCTGCTGAAATACATGGTAAACCAGGTATTATCCTTTTTTACTAACACAATTAACACAACAATCTTGCATTGCTTTACTAATGTAACTAACACAAGGAACAAACAAGGTCATCTTTATTGACATGCGCACATTTGAAGCAACAATATCAATCACAATCCTTTCTGGAATCATTAACCACTTAAAATACACTTTGCATCTTTTTTTTAGCACAACCTTTGTGCTTGTATTTCCTTTGCTTGCTGCTGTCGCTCACATGCGTGCAGGCGTGCACACACTGATAACATTCTCCGCGTGAAACAATGGTGCTCTTCTCCGCTTGCTCCTGTATTGTGCGCCCTCTTTATAACACAATGTTTGGTTGTTTTTGTGCGTTTTGCTTCGACTAGGCAAAGTCTCTAGAGTGGCGGTGTAAAGAGAACCATGAACGTGGCTTCAGCTTCCTCTTTGGCCACTTTAGGAAGTTTTACCTTCCTCACATATTTCCCAACTTCGCCATGGAAACAAGCCTTTACAACCCTATTTTAGGTCAGTTCTTGGACTATAAGGGATGATTTTCCCCATGTTTCTTAACAGCATAAACATTATTATACATTTTTTTTTATCTTTCCCCGCAGATGTCCCTCAGATGCGTCCTAAACCGTACTACAGCATGTTGCGCAGAGAGCAGGATGGCGGTGAAGCTCAGTACTGCACCAAAGAGAGTTTCCTTCAGGCCCGAGTCATTTTTGTCCGCTGGCTGGTTTCGTTCTGGTTGGAACCACGTCCCAACACACAAACGCAAATCCCGGGAACTGAAGGAGAAAACGTTCCAAAAAACATACAGGTAAGTTGTACACAGTTTTAATGGTTTTACCAAGACTTTTTGGAGACTAATAGTGTTTCTTAACCCAGCGAGCAGCAGCTGGACTGGCTTCTCGGTCTGCAGGCAGCTCTGACGACAGCGGTGGAGGAGGTATTCGGTCTGAAAGCCACCTAGAAGGAAGCGGTAGCTCCATAGGGCCTGCAGGAGGTAGCCTGGGGGCCTCTGGGGGTCCAGGGATGGAACCTGAACAAAGCCACTCCAACACTTCCACGCTGACGGAGAGAGAACCCAGCTCCTCCTCGCTGTGCTCCATGGATGAAGAGCAGCTGACCGACATGGAGGTGGTGAGGAGGGTCCTGACCAACTCCAGAACCAACGTCAACTTCATCATAGAGATCTTCAGACAGGTGAAGGAGAAATAATTATTTATCATTGATGAGGAATGTTTAATAACTGACAGTAACTGTAGTTTAGGTAATTATGATTGTTGGGATTTTACTGGTAATATTACTCTTGCTGGTATTTAAATAAGAATGTTATCAGCATTCCCACCACTGTTTACTGCTTTTTTATAGCGTAACTACTTTGTGTTATTTTAGTCATTCATAGATTAAAATTTTCACCTCATTTAAAAAAAAATGGGTGCTATGAGTTTGGTTTCTGTCATTTTTGTATTTTTTCAAATATTTAATTTTGTTTGCAAAACTTTTCTCTATAGAAACAGAAATCCGTTCATTTCCTTCAAAAACATTGTTCTCTAAGAAATCTGCTTAGCAAGCTTGCTTGTTTTTCATCTTAGATTTGTAGCTTCAAGTTTGCTACTTTTAGCTAGCCTTTGGCTACTTTTAATTATAAGCTAAATTTTTGCTGTTTTTAGCAATAGTTTTTCTTACTGCTTTTAGCTTGCGTATTCGCTACTATTTTCCTTTTAGCTATAGTTTTTCTATTGTTGTTTTCTTTACTATTGGCTTTTAGCTACATTTTACTCCTTTTAGATTTTACTTAGTGATTTGTTTTTTTAGCTTTAATAACTGAGTTTCAGCTATTATAGCAGATTTCGGCAGTCATTCAGCACTCAACGTTTACATTTTTCTAGTTCTCAATTGTGTTGACATAATGTAAAAAAAATGTGTTTAAATAGCATAAAAGTAATTAATTACATTGTCTATGAAGAAGATATTTCTATATTTAGGTATTATTTAGATTTACTTTGTTTTTTACATATTTTTATGGAACCCTGTGTTTATATAAAGAATAACAAAACAAAACATACAAAATTATTTGCTAATGCTAAAGCAGGTCTATCATCCAGTTGTCAAAATATTGGTCCAATCGTTGTTGGATCATGTGTGGGTTTCTTCATGCAGCAGCTAAAATAGATAGATTGACAATCTTCATTCGTTGGATTTTATGTGCCGCATCCTCAGTCCCTTTTTTTTCTCATGTGTCTCTACATGTGCAGGCGTTTCTTCTTCCGATGTGTGAGGCAGCTGCGATGCGAAAAGTGGTCCGTGTTTACCAGGAGTGGATCTCCATGGAGGACAAGCCCGTGTTCATGAAGGATCCTGATGAAGGGCCCTATCCTGTCCCTGCTGCTACCAGCCTGGATTCAGGCTCTCAGCTTGGAGACAAAGAAGATGAGGTAAACCTGTCCTGAAACCTTTTGCATAATTAATATTTATGTAAATAGTTATGTAAGTGGTGCATGTATTTATGCATTTATTTCAGGGAATGAACAAAGAGATGGACAGTGAAATGCTGGAATACAGTGTTCATGCTGGAGCCCAAACAACACTACAAGTATGAGTCCTTTTAACTGTAAATGTCGAAGAGTCTTTTGTTTACTATTTTATATATTCTGTGCTTTTTTAAAATTTATTGTGGTTTTCTACTTTAGGTATTTATCACTCATTCTGCCAACGTTTTCCTGCTGGAACCTGCTAATGACATCAAAATCCTTTTGGAGGAGCATGTTGACATGTGCAAGCGAGTCCTGAACATCTACCGCAGCCTCGTCATGCACGAAACCATGGACCAGAAAACATGGTAAAAAAACAAACAAATCTAACCCTTCCACGTCTTAATAATTACACATTTGTTTAAGAAGTGTGCGTGTTTTTGATCGTAGGGAGCAGATCTTATTAGTTCTGCTGAGGGTGACAGAGTCTGTTATGAAAAGACCTCCGTCCATCATGCCTCAAGGCAAGAAGAGCAATACACTGTCAGGCAGGCTGGCAGGGCCCATCTTTCAGGTACACAACTGTAAAGTTGGTGTTTTGTCATTTTGCCAGTAGGACATTGAAAAACAATTGGTTTTACCTGCCCAAAAATAAACATGGACCAGGAACACTGTTGCACCTGTATTGTTTTGAATATGTATGTATATTTAGACGTGTTGTTTTAATCTTACAACCACTTCCACTGTGCCACTTTATGGTTTGCTGTTTGTTTCTGTACAGACTTTGATAGTTGCCTGGATTAAGGGGAACTTGAACGTTTACATCAGCAGAGAACTGTGGGACGACCTCCTCTCTGTCCTCTCCTCCCTGACCTGCTGGGAGGAGTTGGTGACTGAGTGGTCACTCACCATGGAGACCCTCACAAAGGTACAAAAGCCTCCCCCTTTAAGTTGCCTGCTGAGCTTGTGAATATTATGAAATGAGGAACGTGGAAGTTGATAAAGTAGAGTCTGCGTGTTTCTATCCTAGGTGTTGGCAAGGAATTTGTACAGTGTTGATCTGAATGAGCTCCCTCTGGACAAACTCAGTGAACAAAAACAGAAGAAGCACAAAGGAAAGGGTTAGTCTGTCACAAGAAACCTGCACAGTTTACTCACATCGTTTTGTGTTAGCAGTTTTGTAACATAGTGAGTTGTTTTTAATGCCACGTCTCTAAATTTTCATGTGAAAACAACCTATGAACTTATGATCCTTGGAATGAAAACATGGAATATAACCACAGTAAACAGAGGCTGCTTGTTTCACCTGTTGGTACTCCAGCTTTTGGTACAGAGAATCAGCGACAGGTTGTGGACCGCTCCTTTTCTCGAGGTTGGAGCAGAGACCAACCGGGTCAGGCAGCAGCCATGAGGCAGCGAAGCGCCACCACTGCTGGCTCACCGGGCATTGAAAAAGCAAGAAGTATTGTACGTCAGAAGACTGTAGGTCAGTATTGTCTCCCCTTGTTTTTTTCCTTTAGCATCCGTTTAAAAGCTCTAATAGGACTTAGACGTTTTTTTAAACTCACTTATGCTAACTTTGCAACTTTCATTTATGCCTTTGTTTAAAAAAAAAATCATAGACTAAACCTTGAAGATTTCTGTTTTTATTACTGGAAATGAAGCGCATTATGAAAGTAGAAACATGGGTTCCTATAGGGCTCTTCACCTTGTCACTGTGTTCCTGCAGAAACCCTGTCTCACTCGTCCCTCACCTCCTCTGTCCCTGTCCTACACTGACTTCTTGTCTCATTTTTATTTTTATGCTTTGCTCTGCATATAAATATTAAATTTATTTTCATACAGTCTATGTCAATCTTTTCCTTTATTTTCACTGTTTACCTTTTATTTTCTCTCTCTGCCATCTTTGCTTTCTGGTTAAGTTTGTTCCGCTCCATCGTTATCCAAACATCCACCTGTTGTTCACTCGCCTTACTTCTCACCACAACAAAACTTTTTCTCTCTTCCTTCTTGGTCTCCTCTCTTTCTCGTCTTCCGACTTCCTCAGCCCTGCGCAGCTGTTCTACGGGCGACTCTCTGCTGTCCTCCGCCTTTATCCGCAGTGCTAAGAGTGCTCCTGCTCTGGCTCCGCCTCTTCCTGTCCTTATCCACCACCATCACCCTTTCTTACCCCCCCTTGCCGACAATCTGGCAGGTACACCGTCTTTGCTCTGCCTGCCTGCTGCTTGGAAACTGTAGCCTCTCGCATGCCTGTCCGAAACTTAAAACGATGTTTATTGTTTTAAAAATAATTTTGTTTAATGGTAAAGAATCAGTTTGCATGCATGATGTGATTTTTTTTTTTTTAAGCTATTGAATCTAATCTGCAAATACTGTTCCTTCATTTTTTAAATTATTATACAAAATATTATTTTTAGTTTTGTATATCATGTTAATTTTTTAATTGTTGCGGTTATTTAAGTGTTCGTTTCAGCCTGTGTGGAGCCTGAACTACTTGTTTTCTTGTCTGGTTTCTTTATCTGCATTCTTGACATTGTTTTATCTCCTTGCTTGCAGTTCTTGTCCCTGTTTCAATGAATCACATCCCTGTGCTTTCTTTTCCAGCAAATATTTATTCCCTTCATTTTTTTAAAGGCGTTCTTGTTTATCTTCACAGCACTTTTATTTGATTTGATTAAACCTTACCAATGCATTGAATTTGACTTTTCCTCCTTTCCAAAAGACACAACGAATGCTTCTAGATGCTTATTCTTTACTTTTGTGTTTACTCAGACGTGTGTGTGTGTGTGTGTGTGTGTGTGTGGGGGGGGGGGGGTTTGAGCATTCTGATTTTTATTCTTGTGAACGTGTGAACTAACATCACTCTTGTGTTTTTCCTCCAATAACTAGACCTTGAGGACCCGCCCATCACGCTGACGTCCCGCACCACTCGAATGCGCCACGCTTCCCAGAGCGACGAGGCCCCTCCCACCTCCTGTTCTGAGGTCTTCCAGGGAGGGTCTTGCGACCTGGACACCCCAGGCGTTTCCTCCCTCGCCAGGAGCAGCAGTGCCTCTGACATCATGGAGCCCTTCATCGCAGAGCGGGTCAAAGGTGAAGACCCCCAAAGGGACCCCATTTCGTTCCCGAATCCTCACCACCACTTCTCCACAACTACTGCAAACAGCCACACAACTCAGCCACTTTCACAGTCCTTCACCTCCCCCTCTCCCACACCTTTTACCTTCTACAATGGTGTTTCCTTGTCCTCAGACGCACAAAATGATGATAGTGTTTATGATCAGCCCTGGCTCCAGGCTGGCTCCCAAAGCCATGGTTCAAGTTCTGATTGGGTAAGCAAGTGGGACTCTGCCTTTGCTTTTTCATCTGAAAAGGAAATAGATGCAGATGATGGGGAAGTAGGGGCTGTGGTTGAAGAAGATGATTTATTCTCCTCTATCAGGGACTATTTCACTCAGAAAGAAGGTGAAAGAAAAGAAGAGGCCAGAGAGGGAAATGGTCTTGGTCATGTGTCAGAAAATGTTGTCTCTGTACCTGCATTGGTGCAAACTGGAGTTGCTAAATTGCAGATAGAGTATACAGGACAACTAGACGAAGGGAAACGGGTGATGAGTGAGGACAGACAGGTAAGTAAATCAGTGAGACATAGCAGTGTGGATTCCACAGAGGAGACTGAGGCAGAGCAGTGCAGCATTTATGAGTGTTTGGAGTTACAGTGTGAGTGGCCATCACCCAGTGTTAAGGGGAGTGCTAGTTTAGAAAGAAACCCCGAGGAGAAAAAGGGAGTCTGTACCGAAACTGGATTGGAAGGGAAATTTGACATGTGGACTGAGTTAGAAACAAAACAAGAGGACAAAGAAGGAGAAATAAATGACAGACCCAGTTTGATTAGACAAGAATCAATCACAGTTGAACCGAACTCTGAATCAACTTCCCAACTTTCAGAAGCTGCTAAAGCAAATGTGTTTTCTAGTAGCACCAAGCGGCACAATTCTAGGAGCGTTCATGTCAGTTTCCGGCCATCAACCGAGTCGGTCCAGTTCCACAACCCTCTTGAAAATAAAGAGGCTCATTGGAAAGCCAGGCTGCGTCGACTCAGTCACTTCCACACACACAGTCATTCAGCTGGGGAGAGAACGAGTAGATCTGGGTCAGGGGGAAAGCTGGCAGCAGAGGGTGCAGGTAAGTTTGGCTCTAGAACTGGAATTAGCCACAAAGCAGGGTCACAGGAGAGGTTTCTGTCTGGAACAGCTGCAGAAGGCTGTGGGACAGTAGCCACAGACGCTGGAAGTCTGGAAAACAAGTCTAGGACCGGAGGGGAAAAGGACAAGCAGTATTCTGGATCATTTACAAAATCCAACCCAGGCTCTGAAATCAGCTCAGAAGTCCTGTCAAGTAGCTCAAGTTCCTCGAGCGTGTCCACTGGAGTGCGTGGACGTCTGGGACGTTCCACCTTGCGATCTCGAGTCTCCCGCTCTCGCTCACAGGAGCCTGGCAGCAGTATCTCTCGGCACCACCAGGGGGCTCTTCTTGGTGGCGTTTATAAGAGCGTTGTCCATGCTCTGTCCTCTAAACCTCGACCCAGAGGTCAGGGATCATCACAGGGTTCATCACCACAGCGACAGAGTCGGGCTGCCATGGGCGACGCATCACTAAAGGATCTCTACTCCCATGTCCTGGGCTACTTTGGACGAAAGACGACAACGCCAGGTGAGGCGACGAACGAAGTGCTCATAGAGGACACACCTGTGGAAAGAAATGCTCCCCAATGCATAAACACAAGCAGCTCTTTTCCTTTTTGGCTGTTTTTAACTGGTTTGTTATGATGGAATGATGTTTTTTTTTTGGCTGAAACTCATCATCTTGCTGCTGGACTGAAACTCAGACCCCTGTTGATGTGTTTTCTTGAACGTAGCCCCTCTTCCAGCCTGATTCCTTTTTTGAGGACCCCACTTTCTTCCATATCCTTTCACTTGTTTCTGTAGGTCAGAGCTCCATCCCTCCTCCTCCTGTTTTCTCTTTAAGGGGTTTTGGGATTGTAACCTTTTCACCTCCTGCCCGCCTTCTACATCTCCCTGTCCTCGATTAGTTTTTTGCATGCGGCCTCCTTGCGCCTCCTCCCTGGAGATGGGTCCGTCTTCAGTTTGAAAGAACGAAACTACAATCTACTCAGAAGCACAACTGTCTGTGGAAAAATATAGAATTTCCAACAAAAAACAAAAGTAAAAAAAAAGCTATAAATGTTATCTTTAAGGAAGCTGTCAGATGCTTTGATGGATTTTCAAGCTTAAGAGCTTTATTTTCTCTTTCCTTATCATTGTTATTAAGACAAAATGATATGCAGTAGTATTGGTTGTAAACATCTTTCCGAAAGAGGATTAGGCCACGGTGCAAAAATTATTATTTTTTTCCTTAATTCTGAGAAAAAAGTCAAAATTCTGAGGGGAAAAAAGTCAGAATCCATCTATGTAATTCTGACTGTAATCTCAGAATTCTGAACATAATCTCAGAATTTAAATTTTTCCTCAGAATTCTGACTTTAATCTCAGAATTCTGACATTTTTCCTCAAAATTCTGACATTAATCTCAAAATTCTGATTTTTTTCCTCAGAATTCTGACTTTTTGTCCTTAGAATTAAGGACAAAAACAATATTGCACCATGTCCCTAATCCTCTTCCATACATATTTCTGTAGTTCATTCCCACTCCACTAGATTGCAGCATGAGACCTCTTTGTGTGTGGCAAAAGTAGAAAGAGTTTTTGAGTGAATAAAAACCATAAACAGTTTACTGTAATAGTTATTTGCCTTATACTTGTTAAACATTTTCAAAATGCTGTGCAATTGTTTTTATCATTGCAACTCGGTGCAACAGAACTCCAGTTGCACAAATCTGTCCTAATTTGTTGTAAGAGCACCGAGATTCACCACCTGAATCTGTCTTGATGTGACATTTTTGGTCCAAACGTGCTTTGTCGTCTTTTCTAACCAAATTCGCTTGCCAGTTGTGTTTTTAATCAGTTTGGTTTTGGCACATCAATAATACAATAATATCCAGATATATTCTTAGATACATTCTTAGATAAACCTATATTGACAGAGTTCATCTGTTTTGAGTCTAGTCAGCTTTACTTATTGTGATTTAGCTTTTTGTAAAAATGTAAACCAGCTGCAATTTGCTGAAGAAAATTGTTCTTCCAGATGTGTGTTGAACTGTTAAACTCTGACAATTTTTGTAACATTTTCCCTAAACTTTGTGGTTAAGAAATGTCATGGGTTCATTAGAATGAGCTTGAAAACCAAATATTAGATTAGAAAAGCATTTTTTTAGCTGCAGATTGCTGCGTGTTTTCCTCCTGAGCTGCAGTGGAGACGTTTTAGACCTCTCCCAGTCTCCAGCAGCTTTTGAATCATCAAAAGTGATTTTTATTGTCACCCCCAATCTCTATATGGATACAAATAATTAAATATCATTTTTTTTTATCTACCTATTTATTTAGACACAGCAATTTGTGTCTGCTCTTGTCTGGCTTCTTTTGTAGTAGTCTTGCTTGATTTGGCTCTTTGTTGACGTTTTATGGTTGATCTGGAGAGCAACCTTTGAAATAACTTGAGGGTCGCTCATCCATTGTATCTTTTCATTCTAGTGAGAAATATAAAGTCAATGGGAGCAATGCAACTCGAACCTTTTTGACTTTATTGAATGCAATGATTTGCAAATCCATATTTTGGTTCACAGTAAACAGTAAATGTTGAAGTAAAGAAATTGTGCCATTGTTTGGATAGCATTATAGAGCGTTAACACACATTTGTGGATGGCGCTGCAAACTGTGTTTACAGATGATTTGAGATGTGCTGCCATAAAGTTCAAAATTATTATTTTTTAAACAGAATTTCTTAGTTTCAACATTTATTATGTGCATTATATTCCATTGCAAATCATTGCATCGTTTTTTATTTACAACAATCCAGTTTATTCGGAACTGTGGTTGTAATTGACTTTATATCAAATTAGTGACGGCAAATAACCATTACAGTTGAATACAGATTTACTTGCTCAGATTCATGATAGTTAATGAGAGAAAATATTTTAATAAGCTAAATATTTGTGTTTTGATTAAGCAGAAACAGTCCAGTTTATGCTTAAGGACAAAATGAATGACTTTATGTCTGCAGGGGCTTGTGTGGACTGAATTTAGTTTCAGCTTTGTTACGCGTTCGGCTAAGCAGAAGCAGATGTAACGTTGACGCTTCAGGGCATGATATTGTGAACAAAGCTTGTTTTGTTCACAGTTAAATGGCTATGGTGTTTAAAGCCAGCCTGATGGCAGCAATGTAAACAGTTTTATTTGCGTTCAGTACCTTTAAGCTTTATTGAGCAAATTTGTTCCTGGTATTGAGCTGGAGGCAACCAAGCTGTCTGCTGTACAGCCACAGATTCACGACTAAAAATTAGTTGGTCAACTATTAGGACAGTCGATTTACTTCAGTCCCTTTTGCATTATTCTTAATAAAGCCTCTCTGATCGCTGTCATTGCATCAAAACTAACAATAAATATAAACAGAAGTGCACTAAAATAGATTTCTGGTTTGCTGCTTGGATAGTTCTAACAAAGTTTAACACTCTTGCTTTTTGTGCATGAAATTAATTTATTCCTGCATTGCTTCTCTGGGTTGGAATGTGCCTGCTGTGCCTTTTTTATTTATTTATTTATAAATTTATTTACTGAATAACTTTAAGATCAAGAGTACATTCACATTAGGACTGCTCTTACAATTGAGATCAATTGGTTTGATTTTATGTCACGATTATTGTGACATTTATATTCAAACATTTATGAGTCAACAGCTGTTTATAATGTTTGGGCTAATAATGTTTGATAGTGTTGGGAATAACAGTATTATATGTGGATAAAATATGTTCTTATATTATGCTCAGTTTATTAGCAGCTAAAGCAAATCAAGTGTGCACAAGTGTTTAGGCTAAATTTGCCAGTGGCTCTTAATTTTTCACAATCCTGTATTTGTGTAAGTATTCCTGGCGGTTAGATATGTCTGAAAGTGTGTTTGCTTGTTCGTGTGTGTGTAGCCAACAAAGAAGAGGTGGTTCAGAAGGCTCGCCCAGTTTCCAGTGACGTTGGAAGCAGCAACCCAAACTTCTCTGACCTCATGGATGAGTTCATTCAGGAGAGGCTGAGATCCAAAGGGACAGTGGTCAGTATGTCACAGTCACAATGCCGTTATTAAAAGTCACAAATCGTCAAAGCTACAAATTTGTTCTCCTCTGACGTGCAGGGCCGTCGAGGCAGCAGCCCCATAAGTCTGGAGGTTCCCAGAGACCTGCCAGAGCTCCTGGAGACCGGTCCGGGGTCACGGCCCGGTGACGACCATCGACCTGCTGATGATGGAGTACCCTCTGAGTGGACGTCACCCGCCAGCGCGAGCGGTTCTGATGTTGTCAGCTCCGACAGCCAATCAGACTCCTTTAATGCCTTTCAGTACTCAGCCTGCAAATTTGACAGTAAGAAACTAAATATCATTTTCTAACGCACTCATAACGTGACCTTTCATCAGTAACTATATATATATTTTTAATTTGAATACAACTGCTATAATTTGAATTTACTAATTGTATATATTTTTAAAAGAAATTGCATGTTTTTAATCGGGATTCCTAAAGTACTGGTAGGTGGAGCTGCAGGTTAAGTAGAAAAATACTGAAAATCTGATCCCTGTTTTCTCAGGATTTATTCAACAATCAGAATTCTTAGAAATGTTTTCACACAAAAACATATTTTTTCGTGAATAACAAAGATCCACGAACGAGCTCTCTTGAGTTTTTAAACTCTGTTTCAAAACCTCAGACAATTCTCTGCCCTTTTTAGTTGTAGCTAATTCTGCTTAGGTGTGTTTTTTAGAAACTTTGAGGTACCGTAATTAAGTTTGTTCTGTGTGTGAGTTTTTTTTTTTTTCTTCATTTTAATTTCAAGTGTAACTCCGATATAGAGCATGTGTCTTAATACCTTAAATATATCTGCTTATATCTACCACATGCTTGAAATGATGAAACAGTATTTAATGTTCAGCAACATGTTTGTGAGAGCTTCTTGTAGGAATATTAACAAAAACAAGATTATTTTATTCTTCTAAAATGCTCTACCGGCATCAGGCTTGTTTACATTAAAAAAAAAAGCTTATATTCCTCATTTATTACAGAATAAATTAATTCTAAGACTAAGATGTCTTTTATAGGTTCAGTTTTTAAAGACTATTAATCAATTCCGATATTCAATTTTTTTTTATTTATACTGTTTTTCATGCAAATGTTCATTTGTATTTCAAAAAGTATTTTTATTTGTATTCTTAAATGTATTTTAGTGTATTTAATGTGCTGCGGTGTGATTCCAAAATTACTCGCCTTTTAAGATTTAAAATTTGGAAGCAAAAACCACTCTGAGCCAGTATGTGGGGACTTATATTTTTAATTTAATGCTTTAATTTGTTAAATCGAGTCTTTCATAGTTTGGCATTTTAATGTAGATATTTTGAGAAAATGGGGCTTAAAGGATAAAATATACACTTTAGAACAGAACAAAAGAAAGCAGGATAATGGTTTGTCAGCTTTGTTTTGGAGCTTCAAGTTTGCCGTAGGTTTTAATTGAGAACATTCAGCACTTCACCAGATTATTATTATTTTTTTGTGGATATTTTAACAAGGCAGCTAGCTGCCTTTGAGTTTGATAAATAAAACCATAAAGTGTGAAAAACCACAGTAACTTGAATGGCCGTGTGAAGCTGTTTTCCAAAACAAAGTTAATCTCTGTAGAAACTATCAAAACTTAAAAATTGGGGTCTTAACCCAAAGGGACAGGGTAGAAGAAATTTTAAATTTGATATAACAAATTGCTGAATTTTTTTACACTCTGATGATCAAGCTTTCTGTTTGCACTTTTGCTTTTAGACACATGACGAAACAGTTTTTGCTATACAGTAAATCAGAGTAAGTGACGACCAGCCAAAAGAAATGGAGGCTTCGCTCATCAAAAAACAAAAGAGGGGAAAAAAATGCCTTTAAAAATAAATGATTTATTCATCCTGCTGAAGTTGGAGTAATGCAGATAAACAGGTGAAAAAAATCAAACTAAAATACTTCTCATGGTTCATTCGTAGATTCCAGTAGTTTGGTTTCGCATCACAAATTCAACATAAAACTAAGCACAATCTATAGCTAAGTGCTTAACAGGACCCTACTGAAAATTATAAGAATTACCACTTTAAGAGGGGGACATAAATGCTTTCGGACCCTCGTGATGATTCTAAGAATTGCAGTATTCAGCCCAATATTTGATGCGTAAAATTAATTTCATAACTTAAAGACTAATATGCATTTTTTTGTATGTTTGTTTTTGTAGATTTTGCCTTTAGTTCAGATACGTGTGGAGGAGGAGTTGGGTCTGGAGGTGGTGGGCGAGGCAGCTCAATGGACCAGGATAGTCTGGGTGGAGGTTTGGCTTCTGACGAACACGAAGTAGCCAGTTTGACGACACTTCACATCGACTCTGAGACCAGCAGCCTCAGCCACACGGTCACTGTTACTGGTATGTACACCTCAACAAAATGATACCAACCTCCAGATGTTGTCCTCATAAAATATTTTTTTATTTTTTTATACAAGCACAACAATTGGAGAAAAAACGGATCTAGAGTTTTTTTTATGTCTTTGTCCATTTGTTTTCTATCCTCTGTGTGCTTTCTTGGTTAGGTTCTGAAAGTGCCTCACCTATGCATTCCCTTGGGGGCTCCCGTTCCCAGACACCCTCCCCTGCCACGCTTACCGCCGAGCACACTGATCACACACACTCCCATTCGCACACACACTTGCAGCTGGACCAGAAACTCCACAACTCTGTCCTGCAGACCCCTGAAGATCTGGGTAATACTCGTGCATACATTTACGAACATGCTTTCGAACAATATTTATTTCAGTACAGAAAATTAAATATTTTATATAAAACAAATTGAGATCTGGGAAAACACACACATTGTTCTTACTTGGGATTCAGCTTTAAACGATGCAAGAATCCCTGATTGATTTTTTGATTGCTTCTAGAAACAAGCGAGTTCCCCACTGAGGACTGCAGTGTGATGGCAGGCGGCTCTCTAACTGGATGGCATGCAGATGTTGCCACAGTTATGTGGAGGAGGATGCTGGGTATCTTGGGAGATGTTAATGGCATCAAGGACCCAGAAATCCACGCTCAGGTCTTTGACTATTTGTGTGAACTGTGGCAAAACCTGGCCAAGGTGAGAACTGAGAAACAACTATTTAAATCCCATTTTTTTTGCGGGATTGAATAGTAAAACTTTTTTTTTTTTTTTTTTTTTTCAGATTAGAGATAATTTGGGCATTTCTCTGGACAACCAGTCGTCTCCCCCACCACCTGTTCTGATCCCTCCTCTCAGAATCCTCACCCCTTGGCTCTTTAAGGTTAGTGTGAACTAGAAGTCACTGGAATTCATCATCTTTAAATTCCCAGATTCAATGGAAATTGTTCATCACACAGTACAGAAATACAAACCTATTTATGTGTATGCTCTGTTTTTGTCCTCTATCTTGCTTAAGGCCACCATGTTGACGGAGCGTTATAAGCAGGGGAAGCTTCATGCCTACAAACTCATCTGCAGGATCATGAAGAGACGGCAAGACGTTTCCCCAAACACAGACTTCCTCACACACTTCTACAACATCATGCACCAAGGACTGCTGCACCAAGACCAGGTTTGTGTGTTTGATTATAAATATCATCAATGACTACTTGATATTTTAACTGCACAAAGAAAAGTAGGTACAACAGTGTCTCGTTTATCGCAGAGGTTATGCTCCAGACACATAAGTGAAAAACTGCAAAGTAGGAACGCTATATTTATTTTAGTATTTATATATATTTTAAGGCTTTAGAAACCCTTCCCACACTCTTGAAATGTGCTAATCTCTTAAACCTATGTAATTTTAACAACATACGTGTATGTACTGCACAGTAGCTATTTCAAATTTTATATGGGTAATAACCAGCCTTGGTCCGGTTCTGATGGGCTCTCTACAGCCGTTGAGCACCAAGACACTTTTTGAGAGAGCCGGACCTTCGGAGAGCCAGTACAAAACCACTCAATGGTCCCGATCGAGTCCAAATAATTCAGAGGGATCTGGATGATAAAAGTCCCAGTGAGCTCCGGAGAAGAAACTGGAACTCCAAGCAACGCTTCCCCGCTTGAGAGGCTGGCAAGCAGCACTCAGCTTGACCAATGAGGCAGGAAGTCCAGTTCTGGTCCAATTCCCGGTTGGTTCCGTACGGCTCTCTGCATCCACTGAGCACCGATGTCACTATGAATACAGACCAAACTTTTTCGGCTTGCATCAAAACTTTCCCTCAATTTCAGCAGAAAGCAGCACTGTTGGCTTCTGGGTAATGTAGTCCTTTTGACAGGCTATACAGTGTAGGCTTATTGAGAGAAAACTACAAAATGTCGGCGCCTGTCTGAAGTATTTATTTATTTTTTGTTAACTTTTTACTGTATCTCGTACTGTCCCAATCCCGTGAGTCATATTAAAGTTGACAATCGTGTGTCGTGTTAAATCTTTTTTTTTTTTTGTACAATCTTACTTTGAAAAACCACGAAAGAGCAAGTCCACAAAAGTCGAACCGCGAAGTACCGAGGGACTACTGTAATTAAAAACAAAATAAAATCTTGAACTAGTGTTAAGTCCAGAAACAAACTCTGAAGATATAGTTGTAATAATTCTATAATTAATTGTAAATAGACGAACCCCCAACTTTTGCATTGGACGACGATGGCTCTAACCACTCAGCCACAGCTGCCCTCTGTAGGATCTGTCAGTGTTGTAAAAGCATAAAAAGTCTTCATGTGTTTGTGTTGATGTATGTTCTCCATACAGGACATTGTGAACACCATCATCAAGCACTGCAGTCCGAGGTTCTTCAGTATTGGTCTACCTGGTGCCACCATGTTGATCGTGGATTTTATCATTGCAGCTTCTAGAGTCACGGCCTGTTCGTCTCTTAATGTAAGAGAATTATTTTGCAGGCATTGGGTTCACATTTCCTCATATTTTCTTACTATTTTGCTTCTTCCCTTCTCTTCAAGGCTCCAAGAGTTTCTTACTATTTTGCTTCTTCCCTTCTCTTCAAGGCTCCAAGAGTGGAGGCCCAGATCCTTCTCGGATCTCTGGTGTGCTTTTCCAACTTTTATGAGGACCTTGCTGCTCTCCATCCGACCACAGCTGACGTGGTTCTAACAAAGTTCCCTGATGTCAAGGTGGATGTTAACTGTAAATCTGACATTTGCTGCACACATATCCCAAAACGTTGATCTCTTTTGTGCATAAAGCAGGTCAGCCTTAATTTTGTATCTCCTGTCTGCTGCCTGTAGGGGATCTCAGAGCAAAGTATTAGGTTAATGTCTCATCAGATATTCCTGAAACAGCTCGGGGCTGTGGGAGTAATGTTGTTTTTGTTGTTGTTGTTGCTGTGTAAGCAGTTAATGCCATGCGTGGCAGCACCTCAGGTTCTCTCTGGCTTCATACGAGCCAGAAACTTGTTTTGAATCACTAAGCGATCATTAACTCCCAACTGAAAGGATGGGACCGGTGAATGTGTTCATATTTTGTGTCTATGCAGCACTACATATCAGTTTCTCATAGTTTTATAACTTGCATGAATGTCTGTTCATCATACACACCAGTTTTACAACATACTCGGTTTCTATTTGATTTAGTGAATTCACAAACTAATTTTGGACGTTTGTGTTTTAGGAGCACATAATCAAAACCATCTTGACCTCTGCCAGGGATGAACCCTCTGCTCCTGCTAGGTAAACTTTGTATTTTAATGTCTGTAAATTGTTTTCATTAAAGAGAACAGTTTGCTCATTGTGTGTTTGTTTTGGTCAGGTGTGTTGCCTTGTGCAGTCTGGGTATATGGCTGTGTGAGGAGTTGGTTCATGGGACTGAACATCCTCAGATTAAAGTTGCTCTCAATGTCATCTGTGTTACCCTGAAGGTAAGTCACGGCTTTACAGACAAAAGAAAGTCAGCTACCGTATTTTCTTATACGTCGCTCTGGAGTATAGGTCGCATCAGCCAAAAAATGCCTCATGAAGAGGGAAAAAAACATATAAGTTGCTTCGGAGTATAAGTCAAATTTATTTATAGGTGTATCTCACAAAGTGCAAAAACAGACATTTAATCTGAAATAACAATAACACACAGACCATACCTGGGATCCTGGACAGGCTTAATTTACATAACAAGCCAACGAGTCCAACCAGCAAGTTACCGGTAAATTCACCAATTTCATTCAACACCACTGAATCCATTGAATTCTTCATCCTCTGTGTCGCTTCTGAACAACTTCGCCAACTCCGGAGGAAGATGGTGCTGGTGTAGCAGAAGAGGAACAACATGTATTGTCAAAAACCTAGAGGGCCCTCTCGTGGCTGCAGATGTTTATTACTGTTTGGTTCCTGTCAGTATAAATGAACATTTAACGTGTCAGTCAAAAATTGTGTCACGAATAGGGAAAAAAAACGTAAATAAGTCGCTTTGGACTATTAAGTCGCAGGACTGGCCAAACTATGAAAAAAATGTGATTTATAGTCCGAAAAATACGATACATCATTTGTAAAATTCTAAACATAACTTGACGTTAAAATAATTTAGCTATAAATCAACACTTCAAATCAGCTGACTGACATCGTTTGATTAGACACCATGTTTGCTTTACTGTTACTGTAATCCAGTGAAATTAGAGCAGATTATAGATAATCAGAGAGGCTGATGACTGATTTACTGATGTACACAACACAATCTAAACAAATAATGAGTTTAAACTTACCAGTATTTTCTTCACCACGCTTCATTTCTTTTAAAGATAAATTTGGGTTTAGTCCAAGTAAAAATCTCAGAGAGACATATAAATAGCTACCATTTTTGTAAATATTTTAATTCTTTTGTTAAAAAAAGTTGCTTTTTTGTGCACTTTGTGCAACTTCAATAAGATTTTCAAGTCATTTTATTAGTGCACAAGATATTCATAATTTATACATAATCCTGTGAAACTGATGGATGTTATTATAAATTAATATTTCTAATCTCAACCATGAAATCCCCTCTTTTAAATTCTATTTGAACTATAATTATTCATGGTATATGTGATGTTACTAATACTTAAAATACAAAATATGAAGAAAAGTTTAAATTTTATTTCTGTTTAGTGCACCAAAACAAAGACTAATGGTGGTGTGGATGTTGTTAATATGCACTTGGTGTGACGAAAAATATTGTTGGAGATGATTGTTAGTGTTGGTGAAATTGTCTCGGTTGTTATTGTCCGTTTCAGGCGTCTGGACCGAGAGGCCTTTGGATCAGAATAAAACTGTCCAACATTTACTGTCTGATCCAGAGCCAAGTGGCTCTAGATAGACACACATACCTTTTCAACCTTGGAGTCCCTCGCTTGTGTATCGGCAGCCAATCGCCTGCTAAGACACTGCAGCAGCTGACACACACTTGCATTCATTTGGGAGTAAACCCTGGACTGTAAATATGTTTGGTTCTTCTTCAAATGGGAGACTAATCCAGTGGGAATGCTGCAAGCTGTGTCTTACACACACATGCATAAAACATTCACACACACTCCTGCATATAAACATTTGTCCACTTCTGGATCTCTTGCCTTCGTAGCAGCAGCCAAAAGCCTCAGCCATGGGCTCTGTGACATGTACACACAATTACACACACGTTCACAATGCTTGAGCAATTATTTTTTCAGAGCTGAGCCACTTCCTGTTGACTGTATTGTCTTCCAACCTTCGATCAGCAGTTATTTTTGTTTTCCCCAGACTATGGTGCCTATATTAAACAGTGTGGGTTTTATTGTTTTGCAGAAAATAAATACCTTAAATAGGCCGTGAGTGTAGTGAATACAACTGGATAGTTGAAAAATAATAAAACTTACTGTGTACAGCGCATGCACAACTTGCTTTATCTGTATATGAGCAGCAGAAACAGGAAAAAAAAAAAACGACATCTGATTTTATTTTAGTTTATTTCTTTCTGAAAATGCTAAATATATAGAATACACTTTATAACGTGTATATTCTGATTTAAAATGTATTTGTTTTGGTACAAATTATTTACTGACTTATTATTTTTAATGTATCTTTTTACATGGACTGATTATTGTTTAATGAAACAGTTTTAACATTGTTGTTTAAAGTCTCCTACATTAGGATGTGAAGTAGTCTTGTTGTGCCATTCATCCTCTCTCTCCTCCTTCCAGGCTTGTTTGTCTCAGCAGATAAGATTACGAGGGATTTTACTATAACTTCACTATTCATACGTCTTTTTTTATTTCCTAGTATCCTAATAAGAACGTAGCTCTGGCGGCATCAGACATCCTTCACCTTTTGATCAGCTACGTGGATCATCTTCACAAATTTCCCCCTGAAACTCCAAAGAAGATTGTAGAGGTAAGTTACTCCAATTCTTGTTTAAATACATTCAAATACAAATTAAATTGTTATATTTGTCCTAATAAGTAAAAGAGGTTTGTGTGAATTCAGGTTTTTAAGTACAACTTCTGGCTTAAAACAAGCAGCCAAATCTCTTTGAGTTTGTTTTTTTGTTTTAACGTTGCTTTGTTTTATAAGACAGAAAAATATGTAAACCGTGTAATTTGTAATTATTATTGTAGTTATTAAACATCTAGCTAATTCGACAATTACTTTTCATTTAGCATAAAAAGTTTTGATTCCATAGGTTTTGCAAGGGGTAATAAAAAGTGTTGGAGATTGACAACATCGGTGTCTCAAATGTTCGCTTTTTACTTATTTAGCATATTTTTTCACAGAGAGAATCTGCTCCACAAAATTTATGAAAAGTTTTTCAGACGCAGACTGTTTCATTCTGATGATGCTGGTATTCCTCAGTTGTCTGTGTCAGCCTACGCTATTCTGACTTTTATAGCATTAGTTCTAGCTCAAGGTGGCTGCATGTTGGAGCAGCTCTGTTACTTTCATTCTGGGATGTTGCGTTTGAAAACTTTAATTCCTCTTTTTTTCTGGATGTAAATCACTTTTTTTTGGGATGATTATTTCCTCTGTTATCAGATGATGTGCAGCTTGAAGAATTTTTACTGAACCTTTTTGCTTTTGGACATTTGTTATGATACATAACCATGATAAAAAGGTGTTTTTTACAATTGGGAGCAGCTGATTAACAACTCCAAAGCTCAAATCACAAATTAGTTAAAAAAGGAGGTGCCGTTGATGCATCCCCATCTATTTGGCGGAGGTGCCTGACCGCCAAGATCCTGGAGCTGGTGGGAAACGTGGCTCGTGACTACAAGAAGACCAGGATCATCCCCCGACACCTGCAGCTGGCTGTCTGCAATGACGAGAAGCTCAACAAGCTGTTGGGAGGAGTGACCATCGCTCAGGGAGGAGTTCTGCCCAAGATTCAGGTGGTCCTGTTGCCCCAAAAAACCGAGAAATCCACCAAGTTCAAGTAGACTGATCAACATCTGCAGCCAGTTTCCTCAGATCTGCTCTAAGATTGACCACTACAAGAGATCCTTCCTGCTCACATCAGCATCTGTAACAACTTTAATGAAACCAGGATGATTAGCTGCAACATTTAATTTCCCTTTGGGATTAATAAAGTATTTTTGAATTTAATTGAATTAAGTCTGTGCCAGTTTTATGCCTTGTATGTAAATTGTTTTTCAGAACATGATCAACGATCTCTTGATTGTCTCTCTCCAGATTCTGATCGCCACCATTACACACTTGTTGCCGAGTACAGAGTCCTCTCCTCATGAACTGGATAAAAGGGTAACGTGTTTATATTTCACATAAAATAAGTTTTACATCCCACATGTGTTATAAATTTGTATCTCAACGTTTGTCTTCCTGTGTCTTGCAGCTTGTAGTTTCCCTTTTGTTGTGTTTGTTGGACTGGGTGATGGCTCTTCCTCCAACGACTCTCCTCCAACCCGTACAAACACGAAGTCCACCTGAGAGGGATCAACCCACCAAAACATTACTCAGCTGTATTTACAAGGTATATAACAGGACCAGAAGAGTTCTTTTTACCTGTGTTGATCAGTAAGACTTTCATTAACCATCTTTTTGTCTTTCTGATGTGTGTTTAGGTACTTCATGGTTGTGTGTATGGAGCACAGTCTTTCAGCAGTCCCAAGTATTTCCCACTGCAGCTGTCAGACCTGTCAAGTCCAGATTACGACCCGTTCCTGCCATTAGAGTGCCTCAGAGAACCAGAGCCTCTGCACAGTCCGGACTCTGAGCGCTCCAGCAAACTGCAGCCTGTCACCGAAGGTAAGTAATCTAACGCTGCAGGCACACTCACAAGGTTAGGGCTGGTGTAATGAGCCAATATGTTTTCTGCACATGCAAAGTGATGCATCGAAACACAACACAAATCCACAAAATCTGTTTACAAGAAGGTATGTGTATGTATGGGAGTCGATCCATGTGAATCTTTCTTGTCCCCTGCTGTGGTCCACCAGAACTCTGAGAGTCAACTAATGACTGATTCACCCTGGTAGACCACGTTCTCTCTTCTCTTTTCTTCTCTTCTTAGTTTTTTTTTTTTTGCTATTGTATTTTATTCTTAGGTTCTGTATCTTTGAACTCATCTCACAATCATTTAACTTTCCTGTTTCTCTGGGCTGGTTTTGCCTGCCCGTCCTGATCCACCCCCCTGAGGATAAACGAGTCACTGAGAATGTGATCAATACATATCTGTACTCTGCGTACAACCTGTCAATAAGGAGTTGTTAGGAAGTCTGTGTGTGTCACTGTGTGTGTAATGTTGATTAACCAGGATCTTCTGACAGCACAGTGTGTGATGGCATTGGCTTCCTCTCAACGGGGTGTTCAAACTCTTTCTCTCTCTCTTGTTACTCCCAAGTTGTACTTGTTAACTTTGACCATAAATAATATCTCGTAGCCCTTTGTTGGAATAGTACTTTTTCTTTTTTTATATACTTGTAGATGCAAATTACCTCTGCTAATAAAATAAATATTTAACATTTTTGTATGTTTTTGTAAAAAAAAAAAACATATTTGGCTTTTATTCAGTGGCATTTATAAAAGTTATATTGTGGACTGTATGTCAATTTTTCGGACTGTAAGGCGCACCGGATTATAAGGCGCATTAAGCGAAACAAAACAGTCAGATAAGTAAAACTTTATTCAACTCATTCACAATAACTCTCAACATTGTTCAGTTGTACCACATAAAATCAGTTTGAGGTTAATAAGCCCATCCAGAATTAATACATAAGGCGCATTAAGTGAAACGAAACAGTCAGATAAGTCAAAATGTATTCAACTCATTCACAATAACCCTCAACATTGTTCAGTTGTAACACATAAAATACAAAACAATACACATTTTTGAGCACCATGTACCACGTAAAATCAGTTTGAGATCAATAAGCACATCCAGTATTAATACATAAGGCGCACTGGATTATAAGCAAATTTGTCAAAGACAAATCTCCATTTCATTGAATGTTATGGACAATAAAGTTGAATTGATTGATTGATTGATTGATTGATTGATTGATTGATTAAGGCTCACTGTCGATTTTTGAGAAAATTAAAGTATTTTAAGTGCACCTAATAGTCCGAAAATATGGTAATCTTAAACTTCATTGCCTGGTGTCTAATCTTGTTTTTCCAATCCTAGGAAATATATATTTAATTGAAATGTGTTTTGTTTTTTTCTGGAGTTCGCAGCCGTATTCAGCAAGGCCTCGTTTCTATAGCAGCCAGAACAGTCATCACCCATCTGGTTAATCATCTGGGACACTATCCCATGTCTGGGGGGCCTGCGACTCTGTCCAGTCAGGTACTGTGAATGTGTGTGTTGGTGTGGAAACAGTACCACCAGTATAATTTCAATATGTGGTTCAGTTACTCGACAAGAAGAGGAATTTTATAAAATGTGTTGTTTTTGCAGGTGTGTGAAAACCAAGACAACCCTTTCTGCGAGAGTGCAGATCTCGGCCCAGAACTTTTCAATTCACCCAACGTGCAGTTTTTAGTTCTGAACGGCGCCACGCTGCTGTCCGTGCTTCAGGTAAGCTCAGCAGAACCTGCTTTCTTTGATAAAAACTCATATTGTTTGTTTTTTATAAAAAAGCTGCATTTGGTATTTATGATAAATTTTAAGTATATATTTTTAACCTTATTGAATGTTGTGTCCAATTTACACTTGATTTTTAAGATTTTCCAGATTTATTGGAGCTAAAAATATCCAAGAACATGTTATTTATATTCTCACACAAGCCTGTAATAATTGCTAACTATTATTTATTATTGGAAGTTTCCACTATTTTATGCTATTTTTTTAATATATTTTAAATGTAAACGAGTCACCAATTGTTTAAACTTGGAGGGCTGAACGTCTCTTTTTCAACTTTGTGTTGATTAATTAGTATTTTAGTAGTACTGACGTCATTATATATGGAAATTGTTAAATGTTTACTTTAGTTATCAATATCTATTGTCAATACTCCTCTCACTCTACCTTGTATTTTCTTCTGTAGAGAAAATACAAGATGGATCAAGTTAACAAAAATAAAAGTAAAAGGTTTTCTGTTGACCCAGAGTTTAGTTTGTTGTCATCTTTTGCTGATCTGACTCCTTCAAGTCCAGCAGAGCGATGTGGTAGAAGTATTTAGGCTTCATAAAAAGCTTTTTGAATCTGGGAAGAAAACAGCCAAACTTGCAGCTTATCTGCAGAATACTTTTAATTCTTAAAAATGTACCTGTTTAAACTACCATTGTCCAAATTTAGAATTTTACTGTAGAAATTCCTGAAAATATGTTTGCGTTAATGCATAAGTGTTTCATAATAAATATTTAGTTGCTTTAGTTTAGAAGTTTCTGCAAAAAATACATTCTAATAGCATTATTGTTTATGCAAAAAGAACATTTATTGGCTTTAATAATATATTTATAAAGTCAATTTGCTGTTGTTTGTTTTTGTGTTGTTAGTAGAAGTAGTAAATGACTTCAGGGAGATTTCAGTTTAGTTTACTGTGGATTGTGTTAAAGGTTCTGCAACTGAGTTTTTGCATAAAATTTGTTTTAATTTGAAGATTTTAGTTTATACCATGTTTCCTGTTGTCCAGATCGGATCAGAATCCGGTGTACCAGGAGGTGGAATGACAGCTGGATTGTCTTCTGCACCTGCTTGTGTTCGTGTCATCATTCGAGATGTTGCTGGAAAGCACTCCTGGGACTCGGCCGTCCTCTACGGGCCTCCACCGTGCTCTCCGAGCAGTCCAGCGCACACGCTTTTTGCACAGACACAGTCGCCACACGGTGCTAACTTTCAGCTCCACAACCCACTGGGAGGTCCGCCGAAGAAGATGGAACTGAAGGAAGAAGGCAGCGAGGGAGATGAGCAGGAGGAGGAGGGAGAAAAAGGAATGGAGAGTGACGGACAGGAGTTTCAGTTAGAAGGGGAGCTGCAAGGAGAGGAGAGGAAGATCGGTGATGAGGAGAAGGCAGAGCCAGGAGGAGATGGTGAGGAAGAAGAAGAAGAAGAGGAAGAAGAAGAAGAGAGGGGGCAGGAGGAGGCGATGAGAGAGCAGCTAAGTGATGGGGAGTCAGGCTCAGAGCAGCTTCTAGCGCCACCGCTGGCTAAACGTGTGTGTCGCGAGGCAGTGCCGGCATGGGATTCGCTGAAAGAAGGAGATGATGCTTTGGATGAAATGCTGCAGTACCTGGGATACTCCAGTCCTGAGTGTCTGCAGAGAACAGGTACATGTTTTCCTCTCTTCTGTAAATATTTTTTCAGTCTATAATCAGCCCACAGACTCTGGTTTAATTATCAAAGCTCATCATTTCATACATTTTGATGGTCAAATAAGACCAGCAAGCCCTGCGTAAAGTAAAATAAAAAGAACCTGGCTTGTGTCAGAGGTAGAGAGTGATTAAAAATTCTGAAAGTAAACTATTTCAGCAGCCCACACTTTAATTGTTGAAAACTAATTTTGGCTCTTCGTTGATCCTTGCAGGCATGCCGCTCAACATCCCGGCTCCTCCTCCAACGTGTGTTTCAGAGAAGCAGGAGAACGATGTGATCAACGCCATCCTGAAACAGAGCGCTGCAGAGCGAGAGTTCGTCCTTCATGTGCGTAATGCAGAGACTCTTTATGAGTAGAAGTAAATTTTTCATGAAGCGGAAACATGGCTACTGAAGCCAGAGAGAAGAAATGTTAGCAAGTTTACTGTTTGGCGTTAGCTGCTTAGCAGTAATGTTAATCTTGTAGTAAAAACCTGTGTAATCCTTAAATATGCATTTATTGTTACCCATTTTTTTCTGCTTCATATAAAACAAATCATAAATAAGATGTGAGCCAATGTTACTTTTCCAGATAAATACTAGATTAATTTCAAGTTCTGTAACTGGTGTTTGCTATGATCATAAGTAGCAGCAACATTTGACAAAAAGTGAATATAGTTTAAAAAACTATGCTGACACTTTGAGATGAATTTGCAGGAACGCGTGTGTTTTTGGCCTTTTTAATCAGGTCTGATCATATTGACACAGTCTCATTTTAAAGATAGCTGTACGAGCATCAGCGTAACTGCTTTATTTTATTTATGTTGCATGTCTACTTTTAAGTGCATTAAACTCAAATGAAATAATGTTTCAGAGAGGTGAGGAGCTGAACATGCGGGCAGTGCAGCAGGCTGAACCAGAGACTGAGACCCCACAGTCTGCCTTCTACTACTGCAGGCTGCTCATCAACATTCTGGGCCTCAACTCCTGGGAGAAGAGGTATTAAATAAACCCACAGCATTTCCTTTGGTAAAAAATGTTAAAATGTGGTATTTTTGGTCAACTTGTATGTCTTCTTTCCTCATGCCACATTTGAATAATAACATATTTTGCAAAAACAATCAGACTTATAGGCTAGTAGAGATTGCAGAGCTTTTTGGTTATGTCAATAAATAAATTATAGATAGAATATACTATAACATAGCTATTCAATTGCTCAGAGGGCCACAGTTACTGAGAGCCAAGAGCTCAGGGGCTGGACATCCAGCAGTTATTGTCATAAATTAAGCTTATTTTACAGTTTAAAATCTAGTTTTATTTAAAAAAAAGAATCCATTGGTGGGCCGAACTGAGCTCACCAGTGGGCCAGATTTGGCCCCCAGGACGCCAGTTGAATAGTCCTGCACTATAATCTATGGTTTGGGCAGAGGTGTTCAAATAAAAAAATATAACAGAAAAAGGACTGCATAATGTCCCTTTAAAAAACAAAAACAAAACAGTTTTAAACATAAGTTTTAGCTCACATCTCAAAACATACAAGTCAAATCATACAGCTTTTATTTTTCCTACAAGACAGCTGTTTACAATAAACTGCAGCAGTGTTTAATTTATACAGCTGACTCACTGTTGGGTACGTTAGATTGTTAAACCATTCATTTTATTGTAACTGTTTGCATAGTAATTTGCAGCTAAATTATCAGAACAATATAAAAAAAATCTGTAAACTTGTGAACAAATTACAAATTATAGTTAGCTCATTTTAAGCTTGATTTAAATACACCACAAGTTGACGTGGCAGCAGGTACCTTAAAGGAGAATAAAGGCAATAAAATGATTTGCATAGTTGAGTTTATATCACTGGGCAGCAACTGTTGGAGACTATTTTGTGACTCAAAACTGTGAGAAAATGAGCAACATTTCTGTTGCAGTCTCGTTGAATTCTGAGCATTTGCAACGAAGTGACTGCGGTCATATTTTGAGCAGCCAGGTTTTTAAAATCTCAACCTTTTTTGGAGTGTATGTGTTGCAAAACTATTCTAGGCTGTGCACATTATTTTGTTGCCCACCTCCGCATGCATCACACCTGCCTCAGCCTGCTTTTATCCCATCTAGGCAGATTTGATCTACCGGAGTACTTTTTTGAAATCAACATTGGCATTGATCAGTTTTTGAAAATATATTCTTTATCACTGTTTTTAAGTGTTTTTAAGACTTTTTTAAGACTTGGACATTTGGGGCTATAGTCTTACATGCTTCCTGTCAGAGTAGAGGCTGGATACACCCTTGAAAAAAATCAAGGATTCGTTTGAGACACCCGTGATGAAAAACTCAAGCACTGAGATTGTGAGCTTCTACGACTCGCGCGAGGAAAACCGAGGATGGAGACAGTTTTGAGATTTCCTTGTGGATGCTGTTTGCAAATTAGTATCCAGCAGTTGCAGCCCAGTGGGGGACAATCTAAAAATAGCAGTGGTGCATTCATGGATCAGAAGAAAATCCAACAATTGTCAGTCAGGTCATCTGGACAGTTTCTTTTTTTATGCTGAAATGTTTCACCTTCCATCCAGAAGGCTTCATCAGTCAAGGAAACACACCTGTCCAGATGACCTGACTGAAAATTGTTGGATTGTATACCTGGATTATTGAGCATGGACTTTGTTGGATCAGAAGAAAAGTTTTTGGAGTTTCAGTTAATCTGGTAAAGTTACAAAAAAAAAGGTTGTTTGATCGCCAGCTGTAATATTGATGCATCCTTTTGCCTAACCATCATTAAAATATACTAAGTAATGCAAAATTCTTACTTTTATTTTTAAACCAAGTGAATTTTGTGCTTTGCAGGGGTAATTTTTTTTTTATCCTTATTTTCTGAAGGGTTTTTCTTAATGTGACGTTAAGATGAAGATATATTTTCCTACTTTGCCTGAGTTTTTAATTAATTTCTGGTTTTGTTTGTGTCTGTGTGTTTTTGTGAGGCATGCGTGGGATGTAGTCTATGATTTTCAATTCTCCCTAGAACAAACCAAATGTTTGCTTAATGCAAATACAAAAAAAAACCCTGAAGCATATCGAGCTCATTAGACACAACGTTTTTCCCATTCACATCATGCAGCATTTCATCTTCTCAATGACTCCGGACTGAAACGCACAATGTCGATGGTATCACTTTAAATGTGGCTGGCCAGCTAATGGACACTCATCTCTCTTTATACTTTATCCAGGGAATTACACTTTTTGCATTCAGCCCACACAATGGACTTCTTAACACAGTGCTCGTGTGTGTGTGTGATAATGAGTTTAGTGCTCTATTGATCAAACTCAACCCATTTGGAGTTTGAATAAAAAGCTGTCGTTGAAGAAAGGCATGATTGAGAAGCGAATTGGAAAACAAGATGAATCATGTAGATGCAGAGTCAGAAAAATAATGTAAAAAAATCATAAAATTGAGCCACTAAGGTAACAGAAAATGAAATGAAGGCTCAAGAAAGTTGAGCATAAGAGGGGAACAAGAGATGGATAAATCTGAATGAAAGAAAAGATTCCCTAATCATCTGTTTCTGTCCCCTTACGTCTCTCCAGGTATTCATATGGGGCATTACAGTCGCCAAGATACTGACAGTCTACATGCACAGTGCGTGCATGTGTATCCACCTTTTATGCTTTTCCCTATAATCTAGGGTGTAAATGGAGTCTTTGAGAGCAGAGAATGAGGCCATTACCAAGTATGAGTTTAATAAAGAGCAAATTGCTCTCTCTCCCTCTTTATCTCCTGCGCTCTCTTCCTCTTTTACTTTTCTCTAAGAGTGAAAAGAACTATGCGTCATTATCAGTCCGCGCCGAGCCTCACCGCTCCAGTTTTGGTTTTATATCAGCGATACGGAGGTTGATGGCCGCTCGTTGGCACTTTTTCAACGACCTCTGAGCGAGTTTTTCTGCATGAAAAGCTTTTGTTTTCACTCAAAACGCGACCCCTCTTTTTTTTTTTTTTCCCCGCAAAGCCTGAAAGTGTGGAAGCTGCGGTCAGACTTGTTGCTCCATTTGGCTTTGCATGGTGAATCTAGAAAGCTGAAGCTCATGTTAATGTATCAGCTTTCTTACTTGTATACATTTTTATTAAAAAATAGTGCATTTATCATTTACTATATGTCATTATTGAATATTTATAACATTAACCTTTTGGTTTATTAACCCAAGGGACAGGGTGTGAACGCACAGATACCATGCTTAAACAATTCAACCCTGATTTGAGACTGAAGAATAAAAGAATAGACCTAATTTAACTTAAACAAGCGACAATATTACTGAACTTTGTCAACAACAATAACAGCATTAAATCAGCGGTTCTCAAACTTTTTGCGTTATAGGGGAGAAAAGTTTCAGGAACCCCCTCATAACCCTCGTGTTTATTAAATTTACTTCAATTTGTCTCTTTAATGCAATGGAAATATTTGTGTAACATAAATACTTAAGACCTGTTCTTTAATAGTGTTAGTACAATTTTTATACTTTTAAACATGGGGTATTTTTCATCAAGACACACTTAATTGACAACATTTGTAATTTCACCTACCAAAAATTACAGTTTTGAGAAAATTAACAGCATCAAAAACCACTTTAAAACTTTACCTATTCACGTAATGAACATAATAAATGTATTGCATCTTCAAATTATTACAGAAAATTCTTTAAATAGAACTGAACAGAATCATAACTGCGTTGTAATTCAGGGGATAGGATTGTGGAATTGCCTCGATATCACTATAAAAATTTCTAAAACAATTTATATGTTTAAAAATATGATTAAGGTAAAGTTGTTGGAAAGGTGTGGTGCCAGTGAAGGATGCCTAATGGTTTTTTTGTTTTCAGTGTGGAGATTTTTCAAGTGCAGGTTGTTGTTTGTTTGTAGTTATTTTTTAAATTTTTTAATAAGGGGCAGATATAAGAATTTTTTTTCTTCTTTCTGCACCATTTTCATTCAATGTTCTTTTTTTCTTTTTGATGAATTTGTTTTGTTTATTTTGTTTCTTTTAACTGAATGAATAAATAGAAATAAATAAATAACAGCAGCAGTCATACCAAGTAACAGGGCTTCATTTGTAAACTGATCGATGCCAGAAGGGGAAACTCCCCCAGAACATTTTGCATAAAGTTAATGTGATTTTCTGCATTTTTGGTGTATTTTAACAGATTGTTAAACGTCTTGTTTAAAAAAATAAAATAAATTCGCAGACCCCTAAGCACCGGCTTGCTGACCCCTGGCGGTCCGGTGACCCCAGTTTGAGAACCACTACATTAAATAACTTGTTATAGATAAAGTTTCTAATGAAGCATTTTTTACACTTTAAATATCTGCCAACCGTGCTAATGGGTCTTTTGTAGATAATTTTTTTTAGAGATTTTACAAGTTTTAAGGCACAAGATTTGCTCATACACTGTACGTATAAAGAGGTTGAGAAACGGGTTTTAAATACAAAACGTAATGATTTGATCACCTGTGTCTTACAGGAGTAACTTTCATTTGCTGAGGAAGAATGAGAAATTACTAAGGGAGCTGAAGAATTTGGACTCTCGGCAGTGGTGAGCACTTTTACCCATCACTGCGTTCTCATTTCCCCGCCAACTTTACATTACTCATTTTTCATGTAGGCCAGCTGAGCGCTGCCATTTCAACTCTGTTATTACCATGTTGGCCATTATCATTTTCTTTTTTTGCCTTTCAGCCGTGAGACTCATAAAATAGCAGTATTTTACGTGGCTGAAGGTCAAGAGGATAAACACTCCATATTAACAAACACAACAGGCAGCCAGCCTTACGAGGACTTTGTTTCAGGACTCGGCTGGGAGGTAAATTTACACTTACTCACATATGCTACAGTATTTTGTAGTCTTTTTATTGCTAGGTAGTTTCATTAAATGTGATTGCTTCAAATATATTATTAAAAAGTGTTAAACTGAGTAAATATTGCACCATTTTGCTGTATCGTTTTTAATAGATTTATATGGGTCTTGATGTTTTTTCTAGCCTGTTATAAAACGGTGGCATTTTGAACTAGTTCGAGATTCAGCATGTAATATTTCAACATTTGTTCCAAATTATAAATGTTCAATTTAACATTGTGATTAATAAAATTCACCCTTGTAATGATTTAAATACAATTTTCTATTAATTTTTTATTTTTTTTATTTTACATATTTTGGCATTCATGATAAAGCAGATGTCTGAATCAAAGTAAATGTAGGTCATATATATACATATTAAAAACCAGACAGTTGTACTCATAAGCTGTTAGCTTTTATTGGTCTAATTTTAAATGACCTTAAACAAAAAGACAGATCAATGCAACAAAAATGAGCATGAAACAGAAAAACCTGATAAGACATTTAAACCACAGAAGCAGTTTTTTATACTTTGTCATGTTTGTAGCAACAAAACATTAAAATAGTAAAACTAAAATACTATTGTTATCTGGGCTCTATCACATCTGTTACCTACGTTTATTTTATTTATATATAAAACACTTTGAAGAAGAAATAATTGGGCACGCCTCTATAAGCACAGAACTATTTTCACTACACAATTATTTTTAAATTTTAAGTTTTCAGTGAAGAGTCAGGACATAATTTGTGCCTGAAGGTGGTGAGTGCTTTTCTAATCCATACTGTGTGTGCTTTAGGTGGACCTCACCACCCACTGTGGCTTCATGGGAGGCCTTCAGAGAAATCGCAGCACGGGTCAGACGACGCCTTACTACGCCACCTCCACCACTGAGGTCATCTACCACGTGTCAACACGCATGCCTCATGATCAGGACCAAAACCTCACTAAGAAGGTAACAAACCAACACCAAGACAGTGCTGACCTCATGTTCCAGAGACATTTTGGGATATACTTTCTCCTTCTTTCTTTTTCCTAAGCTGTAGAAGGAATGACTCATAAACATTTTAGAAAAAAAACTAGCCCTTTACAGAAACAGCATTACGTCTTTGTGATAAATACAAATAATGAGTATATCCTATCGTATATCTTTAACGATGTATTTTCACTAAAACGCTCCTTTATATTGATTCAAAACAACTATTGGCAGAAATTGACAAATATTGTGCCATTTTACAGTAATATGGTTGACCTAGTAGCTTATAAATATTTAAACAAGACACAAGCCTGAACCACTGCAATTTTATCAAACAGATACAGTAAACGGCAGGAAAATTGGATTTATCATCCCTTTTTTAGAAGACAGAATACATCATGAAGTAAAAAATGCAGAAAGGACGCTGTCCAGATGTTCCTCTCTGATGTTCCTTCCACCTTATCTGTTGTTTTCTTCAGCACTGAATCCAAACAAGTTAAAGGAAACCGATTAAAAGTGTAAAACTTCTGTTCTCTGACACATTCAACTGCTTCCCTATTTTGCGCAACACAAAGTGCTAATTTTAGGCATAACAACATGTTATTATGAAAAAACTTCAGAGGGGCCAGGAATAAAGCAACCTTACTACCTGTAGATTGAAGCTGTTGCACATTCTGATCATTCTTGATTCAAAGTACCGTATTTTTCAGACTATAAGGTGCACCGGATTATAAGGCGCATTAAGCGAAACAAAACAGATATGACCAGTTTTATTCAACTCATTCACAATAACCATATAAAATTGGTTTGAGGTCAGTAAGCACAACCAGAATTAATACATAAGCCACTCCTGATTATAAGGCTCACTGTCTATTTATGAGTAAATTAAAGAATTTAAAATGTGCCTTATAGTCTGGAAAAATACGGTAACATTGTCCTTCAAATAGCAGGAGGTTAAACACTTTCAGCAGATGAGAGGAATCCTTACTTTTTTCATATCTCCACAAAAAACAGCCTCAGACGCTCACTGTATGTGTTGCAGTTCATCTTGATGCCGTTTTATGTTCGAGTCTCAGCAGCAATCGTGTGCGTTTGTGCGCGTTAGGAGGCTTGTATCAGTGTCTAGACGGGCAGGTTTTATTGTGCGTCTATATCTGCGTTTGTGTGTAATCACACCTGTCAACCCTCAGGCACTGGGTGCCCTGCACATGGCCATAATGTCCTTTTAATCAGATCATACTTCCTGCTTCTCGGCCTATCACATGGCTTCAGGCTCCTGATTGGATTACTGGCGTTTGGGCCGACACCATCCGTCTCACTGATCAGCTGATGGCCCCATGCATAGTCACATACACACAACCCTAAACCTGTTTAGCACACGTTCACAAAAGGTTTTATTAACATCAGTCTGCACAAATAACCACATGACTAAATTTGTGTTAATGCCAGAGAAAGACACACAGACAGAACCTTACGAACACATCCAGATGCAGTTTGACAAATGCGTCCACAAATAGGTTAAAGCGACGCACAAGCACATGTACATACTGGCAGACATTTATATCGTCTATCATCCTGCCACACTCGCACTAACACAATCAGTTTAGTCCTTCGCAGGGCTCTTGTCCAGGTTTCTCTTTATGTGACGCAGTGTTGTCGTAACACATCCGATCAAAACGTGAATAAAATGTCTAAAAGTGCACCACGTGAACTGATCGTAACATCGGAGGTCACGTTTGATCGTCTACAAATGTTTTTAAAACACCTTTACTCGACACCGAAAGACATCCTTTGACATCAAACTGCTGTTCATCAGTCACTCCTAAATCACTGCGTGCACAGTTTTAGATTCTCATCTTCTAAATGGAATCGTAGAAAAGCCTACTAGTTGTAAGTCATCGTTAGTTTTATGAGTTGCGTGTTTCTACCTTTCAACGATTAAATTGCAACATTATGGAAATATCAACCTAATGTCTCACAAGTCAAACTATATAAGATAATGAGTGAGGTAACTTTCAAATATAAATCACAAACGCATTATTTTATGAACACGTGTGAAACTAGCTGTTTTAGTAAGGCATGCTGTGTTGTTTCAAAATTGTGTGTCATCCCTAGGCCTGTTACGATAACAAATTTCGATTGTCTCATAAATTATTGCGATAAATCATATTGTTTGAAATTTGACAATAATTAGTAATTATTGTCAAATTTAAGAAGAAATATTGGTTAATATGTTTTGCATGTAGTACCTTTTTTTGACCACCGGATGGCAGTATGAGACTGTTTGAACTGAAGGATGGATAGTGAGGGAGCAAGGAGCGTGTCCTTAAGAAAAATGGGAGGGAAACCCCTTGACATGACATGGGCCGTCTCTCTTTTCCTTTTTTTTTGGTTCTCAAAATGGCGGATGCTCGGTGTGGTTTGAGATCTTTAGCATGTATTTTTCACAGAAAGCTTTTAATAAAAAATAAAAAAAAAGAGTAAACAACTTCTCATCTTCTTTTTACAGAGAAAAAAACATTTTTACACGAAGGCACGGGTTTCAACCGTGAATTTTGGAGCATCGACAAGACAGTTTTTTTTTTCCTGAGGTCAGCCTGTTAGCTTAGCTTGTATCTTAGTTTCTCAGCTTAGCTGCTTTTAATGATCCAAAAACATGATTTTGGATGGTTAAAATGGATTTTAAAGAGAAAAGAGAAAGGGAGGGGTCAGTGAAAAGCACTGGAGTTGAGCTTTTTGTCATCCAGTGTCTTCAGTAGAAAGAGAGACACGACGAAACGATAAAGCCGATAAATGAAAATGAGGTAGATAATTTTAATTTATCATGCAATAAACTGATTTATTGTTTATTTCGACAGGCTTTGTCATCTCTGATCGCTTTATAATTTACCTCTAAGCTACCAGATTTATTGTACTATTTGTTTGCTCAAAATTATAGTAAACGTGTGTCTCAGTTGAACTTTTCCTTAATAAATGCACTTTAATGGTCAAATCAGCTGCATTTCGCCTGGGCGGCGCAGTGAAATGCAGCTGATTTGACGTTTGCTCCAGGAGTTCTGGAGCGAGATAAAGGTGGCTTGTTATGGCAAGCCAAGTGTCTCATTAATAGCCAGTCTTACCTATTAATTTGACACTTGGCTTGCCATATTAGTCGAGAGCCCTCTAGCGGCTGAACATGGTAGTGTTCAATATTTTATTCAGAATTAATGAAATCTTCAGATCTCAGCCAAAAATTGGGTTAAAAATATGGGGGTAAAAAAACGTATATTTGTCACTTCAGCGTATAAGACGCAGGAATTGTGCAAATTTATGCAAAAAGGTGTGATTTATACAGCAAAAAATACGGTACTTGTAATCTTTTAAAGTGTTCTTGATAGAAAATTTGCTGTCTTTCTGATGGAACTTCAAATGTTTTCTTTGGACTTAGGCTGCTTTTTCTATGTATATGATTTTTTTATAAGATACACATTACTTAGCTATGAATCATTTAGGCATAAATAGGCAGCTAAACTTGAGGACAAGCTAGTGTTGTGGACACATAACAGAAAGCTTAGCAAAGAACCAACTATATTGGATTTGTAGGTTCTTTGCTAACACCAGCCTGTCTCAAAGACCCACTTTGTTCCCAGTTTGTATGTTGAATCTATGACATCAATCAAAGACATTACAGTTTTACATACAAAAAAGTACTATTTTAACGCTAACAATTTGACCGGGCTATTGGCTAAAAACTTCATATATAATAAAAATATTTAAAAAAGGATGACACATCTTTCAAATCATGTTTCAGGTATTTTCTGATATATATATATATATATATATATATATATATTATTTTTATTTTATTTTATTTATTTATTTTTGTCTGTGCATTTTTTAAAAGACAAGAAGATACTGTTTAGATACTGTTCTTCTGCTGGAGATTTTTTAGCCTTCACTTCTGTTCAAGTTTCTGATTTTTACCGTTTTTTGTCCCTGTCAAACCAATTTATCATTACTATTTTTATATGCATTCATACAAATTTGAGCACATGTGTTTTTGACAGACTGCTAATGAAAATGTATTTAAAAGTTTAATAATGTTTTTTTTTTTTTACTAAATTGTTTCAAAGAGCAGATTAAGACCATTAAAAGTTTTTAAGAAAATCTGGCAACTTGGAAGCAAATTTATAAAAATGAGGACTTTTGCACACTTGTACTACCGGTATACAACAGCGACTTTATACGACATTTATGATTGTTGCTCATATTTAAAAGGAAATGGCATTCAGTTTCTCTTATGGTCAAGACTGACATTCATCTCCAAGTGTTTGACAAATCAGACAAGTAAGCTGCGCGGGGAAGTAATGTGTGTGTGCGTGTGTATGTGTTGGCAGACATCAAGGTTAATGACTGAGCTGTCACCAGCTTTGACTGGAACCTGCTGAGTGAATGTGAATCTCACACACACATCACTGTGCAGCATTACCCATAATCCCATCCGTCTTCCAGCTTGTACTTCATCTTTCCAGGGCTTCACTCAGTCATGTCGTGGACTCTCCATCTTCTCACACTCACTCCATCACACTCAGGGCCAGCTATGCCACGTACACACGCACCTAAAATCAGAAGCCTTGAGTTTTGATGGATACAGCTTGTCCAGCTCTTTGTTTGAAGCCTTTGTTTTCTGTTTATGTATCAAATAAGACTGGTGCTGAATGATTTTTTGATTCTAATATTAATTCTTCTTCTTTCCATTTGTCTTCACCTTCCCTCGCTTCAGCTCCGACACCTGGGCAACGACGAAGTCCACATCATTTGGTCAGAACATTCCAGAGACTACCGACGGGGAATCATCCCCACTGAATTTGGAGATGTGTTGATCATCATTTACCCCATAAAGAACCACATGTATTCCATCCAAATACTCAAAAAGCCAGAGGTAAAAAAAGAAAAATATTTTAGAAAATCAAAAAAAAAAAAACCCACCATTTGTCCATATATTCTGGACCGTTATGGAGTTTCTTTGCATATCGGTGTTTCCTTAGAATTTCATGAAACACTGCAGGTTTAAAATCTGGGACGTTAATTAATCCCCCACAGCTCTAATCAGTATTAACTGGACAAACCACCATTAGTGAAGCTGTAATTGTTGTGAAAATCATTGGCCAATCTGTGTAATTGTAGTGGCCTGCTTCAGAGGGTGCATTTCAGCCTCGGGAATTTTTATCCAGGAATCTTGGTCTTTTTGGGGCTTCATCTACTTGGTTATTCTTTTGTTTCAACCACTGGGCTCAGATATTAAACAGAGCTCTGAAAGGAGAACCTTCAACCCAAAATGTCAGCACTACAAGAAAAGTAGTACATTTAAGATTAACCTTTCGCTTGTTGCTTTAAGAGTTTGGGGTACCTAAATAATTTGGATGGTCGAGTGTTTTTTGGATCAAAGAGTTTATGAGGAAAATCTTTGAAGACCTTAAACACCATCTAATGTAGTTAAATCTACCGCAAGACTTGTAGATATGTACAAAGTTTTTTATTTGATTATCTCAGGGGCTTCATCATCACCACAAAACAAATGGCCATGGATTATAAAATGTAGTCAAAATATTATTTTTTTATTGCTAATTATATTTAATAATATATTTTTTAGTGTTTTCTTAATCAGTTTGCTATCTTAGTTTGGCAAGATGTCATATGTGTCACACTGTTGCTCTAGGAGCTACATGGATCTTATCAATAATTAAATAATGTGCATTTTATTCTCAAACGTTAAGGTCACATTATGTCAGAAAACAGCTTAAAGATATCAATTTTAGTCCTCTCGCAGGGCAAGCGTTTTCTACTGAGAAACACTTTTCTATTATAAACCGGAAGATTAAAGCAGGAAATCCAATTTGGTGAAGTTTGATCAATAATCAGCATTGTTGTTAAATAATTTGTTGCCATTCTATATTTCAAATGGTAATAGAGTCTTTATTTGTAAAGATTGTGAAAGTTGAGGAGTCAGTTTGTGTTTCCAAGCATGAATTTATGTTGACTACACAGAAATGCAGCCAGGTTTACCAGTGATCCTGGAGAACGTCTTGCCCCGAGTCGTTTTGATCTGGTTAATGTATCGGTCTAAAGCACACAGACATTAATGCCACAGCACTGATGGCATAACTCTATTTCAAACAAGACGTAACACAATAAAAATCTGCTTTTTTTCTCTATGACATAGATACCACAGCACTAATAACATAATCATATTCTCTTTCATTCATTCTGCAAGGAAAATTATTGAATTATCAAGAATCCAAGAACAAGTTAGATAAGATATCGCTTCTGTTGTCGTCCTGAAAGCCCATGTATTCGACCATAGAAGGCATGGCTTTGGGACCTGGTCTCCAAACAAACTCAATTAGAGCTGGACATTATTCTCTTTGGTGAATTCCACAAGCAACGTATTGAATTAAATCAGAAAGCCATTGGCTGAATCGAATATTGTATGATTAAAAAATCTGTTGTCTCAGTTATTATTTGACTTTTAGCCTCCAGAAAGTATCCTTTAATAAATACATGCTTTCTTTGTATAATCTGGCAGATTGAGTTGTTGACTTCTTTTGTAGGTGCCATTCTTTGGTCCTCTATTTGATGGTGCTATTGTGGATATGAAGATTTTGCCCACCATGGTTCGAGCCACAGCGATCAACGCAAGCCGGGCCCTCAAGTCCCTCATTCCTCTCTACCAGAACTTGTATCCTTTGACATCATCAGCAGTCAGAATATGAAAGATGTGGGTCAAAAGATTGAAGGTAGGCCACTGAAAATTATTCTTCCATCCTGCATCTCTTCTTGTCCCAATATGTTTTTTGTTGGTTTGGTGGTAAATCAAAATTATTCTCTCATTTTCTCAATCATGAGATATTTTAAGTTTATGCTTTAGAGCTCTTTAAATACACCTTGCGCACATGCATCACATTAGAAAGCTACAACTTTTGTGATTTATTTTAATGTAAACTATTGTGATTAATTGGTCACAACTGGTTCAATAAGCTCAATAATTTGCAGAAAAACAGCTGAAATTAGCTTAAAACATGCTGAGTTTTTGCTGAAATATAAGAACATGCCTAAATTAGCATAAGAAAGCAGTAAGAACACATTTGTTGAATTAGGTTTAAATAAGCAGAAATGAGCACAAAATTAGGAAATTAGCAAAAAAAAAGTTAACTAAAAAAGCCTAACTTGGCAAAGAACAGCTGAAAAGTAGCTGAAAAAGCAGAAAAAAAGCTTAACTACCAGAAAGAAATGGAAATAACTGAAATTAGTTCAAAAATGTTAAATTAGCTAAAAAGGCTAACATTAGCATAAACACAGCTAAATAGTAGCGAACTAGCAGAAAAAAAGCTGAAATTAGCAGAAAGATGACAGTAGCAGAAATTGCTACAAAAAAACTTGAATTTATCTGAAAACAGATTAAATTAGCTAAAGAAATGCTAAAAAGCTAGCTGAAAAGATAGAACAAATAAGTTAGCAGAAGAAAGCAGAAAGAACACATTGTGCCCAATTAAACTGAAAGAAGCAGAAATGAGCACAAAAAGGTGGAAATTATCTGGAAAAAGTAGAAATTAGCAACAAAAAAAAAAAAGCAAAAAAAAAAGCGGCAAAGTAGCTAAAAAAGCAGAAAGAAGCTTAATTTAGCAGACGGAAGTGGAGAGAGCACAATTTTGCCTAATTAGGTTGAAAGAAAAAGAAATGAGCACAAAAAAGTGGAAATTATCTGAAAAAAGCAGAAATACGTTTTAAAAAAAAAAACAGCTGAAAAGTAACTAAAAAAGCAGAAAGAAGCTTCTTTCTGTTTAACATGACATATTTTTCAATCATAATATAATTCAATATTAATTTTCCATCATTTAGGAAAATCTTTATAACGCACTCTTATTTGTGTTCATATCAATTTTAGAACAAGTTTAGATAGAACATTAGTTTGTGGTTTCAACTACAACAACTACAGTTGTGGAGTTTTGACATCACAGTCCTCCACACATTTTAGGAACATCAATTTTCTGCACGTTTTTCAACTTTAGCTGTTTATTTTCAGATTTATTTTCAGCAGTACCATGTGAGAAACAAACTCCAACTTGTGATCTTCAACAGTGATTACAACAAAGTTCTCAAGTTTCCACCCAGAGTACAACACTCATCTTTAAAGTTGGCTCTCATTTAATCTCAGCTACACACGTGTAAAGTACAAACATTCTCATAAAAACTGCACCAGCAGGTTTGCAAGGGTCTAAAGTATTCAAAGTTTGATTAGGTTTTTGTTTTTAAAGTAACTGCATGAATTATCCTGATAACATGTGTAAAGCTTCTAAAAATGTGTTTTGTGGGTTTTACTTTCCTCAAAGTTGCATTTTGTGTATTTCCTGAAATCTTTGTTGCTCTGCTTGAGGATTCAGCCTTCAGCAATGTTTGGATGTCCTGGTTGGAGTGTGAAAGAGTTGTATTTATGAAGTGCTAAATATCAAGTGTGCGTTTTTATCGTGCTCCACAAAGCACAGAAAGTTAGGATGGTCGGTGTGTATTGGTGCGAGCATCAAAAGTGTGAAAGAAAGGAACGTGTGTATGCACGTATGTGTGCATGCAGTTTCTCTGCTTGATCCGATGTGATGGTAGTTTGGTTTGAAGAAGCCAGAAGTCAATACTTATTGATGGATCTCCTCTAAAGGTCTGTTTCTAAATGAGAAGCCTTGCTTTGTAGTCTTATAGACAGACATGTACACTTGCACGTTAATTACAGCAACGCACAACTGCCTCACATGTTCAATTATGCAAGTGCGTTCACAATAAGCTACGCCGATTAATGCCTGTTTCTTTAGAAAGGACCTAAACAGACGGTCAGTTGTGAAGTAACAGTGTTGTATGAGACGAGATGATTTCTAATCAGAATATGTTTTAAGCTGCAGCAGCAGTTTGATCCTTTAATGACAGCATCCCTGCATCTGCCTGTCTTGTCTTTTTAATTTATTTCTCTTGGAATCAAATGGTTGCAGCTTATTTGTACGGTGGTGACAACCTTTATAACTGTGGCAATCATTACAGTGAATTCACATACATGTATTTACAGATCAGTTCATTAAACTGTTTCCATCCATCCTGTAAACATTCATGCAAGACAAAATCATTCCTCCTTTCTTCTTCTAATGTGTTAAACGTTCATTATAAATCTGGGAGTTGGGTTATTTTGCACATAATCAAAATAAAAGATCATGTTCACTTACGTTGAGCATAACTAACTAGATTCTTCAGCAATACCATAAAAAAACGCTTCACATGTTTTTTTTGTTTTTTTTTATGGTCACAAAACAAGACATTCAAAAGTTACAAACCTTTCCTGGTCCGTTCCTACGACGGAGGACCACGCTAAGGAAAAAAAGTTACATTACGAGAAAAAAAGTCATGATAATACGAGAATAAGTCATAATATTATGAGAATAAAGTCATAATATTATGAGAATAAACTTGTAATATTACCAGAACTCTGACATGAAAAAGCAATGTTACAACTGCAGTAAAATGACGAATGTTGAGCATCTTGTTAAGTTTTACTTTGGTATTGGTTTTACTAATGAGGAAATTCTTAATCTGTTAGCACATCAGCTTCAGATTATTATCAGTATCAGGACTTTGAAACGATTGTGCAAATGTCTGTTTCTAAGAAAGAAGCACACGGATTTGGAAGATATTGCTTCTTTTGTAGAAGAGGAGCTTTCTGGCAGTGGTCGACTTCAAGGTTATAAGTGGTTACATCTGCATGCCCTTCAAAGTGTAATATTATGACTTTATTCTCATAACTGTATGACTTTTTTCTCGTAATGTAATTTTTTTCCCTTAGCGTGGCCCTAATACTCCGTCGTACGTTCCTGCCTCAGAATACATTTTATGAATTTTTAGTAAACGTTTGTAAACATTAGAACCACGTCTCTACTTGGCTCGCTCAATCATACTTGTGTATTTGTGTCATCATATCTGTAAATTTATTTAAAACATATCTCCTTGTGTCAGCGGGACCAACCACCGGACCAGGGTTCAGTACCGTTATTTGGATAGATTGCTGCTGAATTCCATGGAAATAAGAAAACATTCAAAAACATTAATACTTTTATATACATTGGTCTGCTGTACAATTTATTTTGAAAAGCTTTCATTTGCACTTATTTTCTGCACTTTACTCAGTTATTTTTCATATAACAACGACTCCAGCAAAAAATGAGTCAAATAAAAACAGTTTTGTGGAAAAGTGTATTTTTTCCCCAGATAAGAAAAGGTGTTTAAAAATAAATAAATACAGAGTTTGGCACAGTTTCAAACTCAAGACACATTTGTGACTTCCTTAATAAAGTCAAAATTTTTATTTTATCTTTCTAAATCCATCCACTCAGATTGTTCTTCTTTACTCACGACTTGCCTTTTTTCCTTTTTCGTTTCACTTTGTTCCATTTATTGGGAGTTTTCTCTAAATGTTTATCCTCTATGGTCTTGCTCTCTTTCCATCTCCCTTCTCTTTCAAGCTAACATATGTTGGCAAAGTCATCATAAATAAGAAGAAACCCACAAAAGTCAAAGATTTCTCGAGTGTGTGCATATGCACCTTGGTTGTATGTTTTTGTGTGAGGTTTCACAGACTGTGTGTGAGACAGTGCACATGTGAGGACACACATGTGTCTCTTTGATTCTTATTCCTGAGTGTTTGTGTGTGTCTGCGAGTGTCCTGGTGTGTATTGATCGGTGTTAGCAGCAGGTCGATGTCTCTGACAGGCTGAATTACAGTAATCAGTCATTATTGACTCCCCATCTCTCTGCTACACTCACTCCTCTCCTCCATCACCACCTCTCCCTCCCTTTTGACGCCGTTTACTTCTTTTCTTTCTTTTTATGCTTTAACTGCCTGGGTTTGTATTTCTGAGTTCACATCTCTTGTGCTTCTAAATATTCTTCCACCACTCTGTGCCCTTCATCATTTCTCTATCTTTCTCTATAACCCTGCCCCTGCATTACCTCTGCCGACTCTACAACGCTCTTATCTCAGTGCATCTTTTTCTACTTCTCCTTCTGTCATGTTGTCTGTTTTTCATCCTTCTCATATTAGTTTTTCCTTTTCCTCATTCAGCTTTTTTCGTCCGATTATCTTGTTTGTGACATCTAAATGTCCTTAGAAACTCCTAATGATGTCATTAAAATCCTTTAAAAAAGGTTATTGGATAACAAAAAAGGAACAGGAGCAGAAAAGTAGAATATTTACTTTAAGCCTTCTCATAATTTCAGACTAGAAAAAAAATATTCATAAGACCTAGTTTTCCTTGAAGGAACGTATATCGTCCACCACCTTTTATGCCAGATGATCAACTAAGATGATTTTATGTTCAGAAAAGTAATTGTCGTTTTGGTCTTACCTTAAAATAATATGTGCAGTCTTGTCCAAAACTGCATTATTTCCTATGATTTGACATGATCTGTTAGCGCTATAGCTTGCATTACTTTTGAATGAATGGCAGCTACTATGATGCCAAATTTTATGTTAGTATTTGCAAAATCCTCTAAAGTAGAGCCACTTTTGTGTAGGCTAAGATCAATTATCTGTGACAAGGCCTGTCACGATAACAAATTTTGCTGGGTGATTAATTCTCATAAATTATTGCGATAAATGATAATGTTTGAAATTTGACAATAATTAGTAATTATTGTCAAATTTAAGAA